CCAGCCAGTTTGGGAAGTGCATCGTATACGCGTAGCGATCCCGCGATCGCGTATGGCTGCGGCTGCACTGGAGCGCTGCCAGTGCGTGCATGCAAAAAAGGAAAATAAATAAATCAGAAAAATGCAGTTCAAATAAATCGACAGTTCGATCGAAGAGATAAAATAATTCCACACATGCAATTCATTTCAGAACAAGATTATAGAGCGAAGCTAGCTAGTCATGTGTCAAGCTACCTTACTACAAATACTTACTATACCTAGAACTTAGCTATGGGCAGCGGACCTGGACCCTATCGCTCCTGGGATATACCTTAGGTAAGAGTGCGACGTAATGACAAATTGTAAATACAGTAAATTCAAATTGCACTCGTAACATGTATTCAAATATTAACAGTCCGGCATTCGCACATATTGCAACATATTGTGCAAGCACATACACACAAATACACACACACACATAAATTGGGACATCACCTTGAGTTAGCCAGTGCAGGCTAATTTTTATTTTTCAAGGAAACCCTTCGAAAATGGTACCAATCGATTCAGCATGGCATTTTCATTCCTCCTGCAAAGTTTCAGCTGATTTGGAGTCATGACAAGGACGCTATGGCGATTTGAAGATCGAAAAACTTCACTTTTGTTTGTCAAGAAGAAAGACCATGATCGCACACAAATCATACAACCCGTGTGGCACAATGATTTTTGAACGAAGTTGATCCGCGGACCCCGTGCTTCGCGCATGCACGCATGTACATGTATACTGCACAGTACAGAGGCTTTTTTGAACGCAGATATGTAGTTCTTCGTCTTCTTCGAAATGTCTTCCAAATGCGTGGTGCTGGTGTTGTTCTCAGCTTCGTCAAGGCAGAATGCAGCTGCATGTGATGCTCCTGTGTGTTCATGCATGTTCTCTTTTCGCGTCTCGACATTGTAGCGTCCAGACTCAGCTCGACTGGAGAAGATTGAGGAGACTATGCTTTGATCCACATGGAAAATCGATGAAATTTGGTAATTATCGTCGGGCGCTAAAAAGCGCTGGGGAGCATGGGGCTAAAAGTTCGTAGGTCATCCCTACCATGACAGGCATCGACTGGTATATGTTCCATTCTGTTCCCAACCACTACGGGTCGTCTGCGAAGCTTTCTTCTTCGCCGATTCTCGGACAGATCGTACGTCTTCGCACTGTATCTCTCGTCTCCCTCAACGGATCAAAACACGGTTTTCGCCAGGACGAACACAAACCCCCAGATTTCGCGGCGGCAACATCTTCGAGTAGGGAAAAGCTAGCAGCTAACCAGGAATCACCAAAAAACACGTGTAATACTCAGTGTGATTTGCGACAGCTGTCATTGTGCCGTCGCACCATGCATGTACCATGCACGGGAATGAAACACGGATGAGTCGTTTTATTACGACAGCCTGCACTGGCTACTTGAGTACATGATCTTGGCTACAAGGGTCGTAATCTACCAGACATGTGCCAAATACTGCTGTTTGTCTACATATATACCACACCATTCCACTGCATTTACAGTGCAGTTAACCCTCCCCCACCGTTTATGAGCCGTATCTGACGCCTGATCATGGGGTGGTGGCGTCCCACGGAAGCGGAAAGGTGGTTCTTGACCAGGGAGTTGTACGATTCCTTGTTCTTGACCTGGCCGGTACGCGAACCCGTCGAATTTTTTTTAAAACCTCGCTTATCCGGTCCTCTTATATCCGGATACCTCGTCATCCGGAAGAAAATAGCTGGTTACAGATTTACAGCATACGTGGTGCATCCAACATAACCGGTGTTCGGATATCCGGTTCCCTTCCCCATCCGGATATTTTTGTGGAAAACGCATGTGAGCGGCCAAATTAAGGTTAAGCCAGGTCTAGCTGTACCTACTTTACACAATCCAGATAAGCTGCATGTTGGTGCTGCAACAATATGCAATACATGGTACGGTAACTAAATATATCAGGAGTAATCCATAAACTGTACTCAGCTCTGCATAAGATGTCTGAACAGAGCAGAAACTAACCTGGAGAGCGAGTTTCCATGACTTGGACCCCATCGGCTGCTGCGGTGTGACATCGCTTAGACGGCAAATAGCACCCTTCTGTACTGTCCACAGCTGTCGAAAAGTAGGAGAAAGAGTTGGAGACAGGAAAATATAGGCATGTCAGAAGGGAAAATTATTAATTATAAGAACACTGCGCTGAGTATAGTTGGACATAAGGGAGGGTTCCTGGTTCAAGTCCTGGTGGTGGCAGCCAACATGTTTTCAGACTGTTCTTGTTTCAACTGCTCAAACGTATGAGTACTGTACAAGTACAAATTTTCGTTTGGAGGTAACTTTCGCTACATTAGTTAGGGGGACGAAACGAGAGAGCTTGGAAGCTCAGGGCCCTACGCTATGCTTTGTTGCTTAGCTCATCGTGCATGTTGTTAGAACTGATGGAAATGCTTTTTCCTTTGATTAGCTACATCATTGTATTGCAAAAACGTTTCAATGAGATACTGAAGTAACGTCTTCTGCATAGCTATGGGACCAGCGCTGACTCTGCCGATCACGGGCGTTCTGGAGTCGACGGGATGTCTGTCCCAACCGGCGCTGACTCTGCCGATCACGGGCGTTCTTCTTCGTCTTATTATTATACTGACGGCAACTAACATCCATTCTGATTGCATTTACTCGTCTCCCTACTTCGTATTTCTTTCCAGAAAATCTCCCCATACAGCAGGGAGTCGTTTACATAATATGACTCCCTGCTATACATCTACATGACTGTATAATATCCGTTATAATTATTATGCTATCGGCCTACATGCGATTCCCGGGCTGGTCGACAGGCGGCCCAGCCAGCCTGCTAGTGGGATCTCGGCCTCGCACACAAATCCACACAAAATGTTACTGCACTGAATGCATTCCCCCGATACACTTCGCATATTATACTCATTCTCTTGATGGTGGTACCGTACTCTTGATGGTACGGGACAGGTACAGGATAGCGCCAGGCATGTCGATCGCACAAACAAACCAAAAAAATTGTGGCCAGCTGTCTTTGCTGGTACGGTACAGTACGGGACAGATACGGGATAGCGCCAGGCGTGACACAAACACACAAACAAACAAACACCAAACGAGAGAGCTTGGAAGCTCAGGGCCCTACGCTATGCTTTTAATGTAAAAAGGCCAGAAAATCCGATTTTATGGAGATAAAAAGGAAAAGAAGGAGCAAACCAAAAGCGGATGAAGTGAGAGAAAGATAACAATCCGCAAAAAAAACCTGCAAATACTTTTGCCTAACTCATATTCAAACTGATTGAAACGTTTTTGCAATACAATGATGTAGCCAATTAACGGAAAAAAACATTTCCATCAGTTCTAGTAACATGTACGATGAGCTAGGCAAAAAATGTCCTGATGTCTGTCCTGACGTTTTCTGTGACCGGCGCTGACTCTGCCGATCACGGGCGTTCTGGCCTCGACGGGATCTCTCTTCCGACGTTTCCTGTGACCGGCGCTAAATCGCCCGTTCACGCTTATTTTGGAGTCGACGAGATGTCTGTCCTGACGTTTCCTGTGACCGGCGCTGACTCTGCCGATCACGGGCGTTCTGGACTCGACGGTATCTCTCTTCCGACGTTTCCTGTGACCGGCGCTGAATCGCCCGTTCACGCTTATTTTGGAGTCGATTCTGCGTCTGCCTGACATTTCCTGTGACCGGCGCTGACTCTACCGATCACGGGTGTTCTGGAGTCGACAGGATCTCTCTTCCGACGTTTCCTGTGACCGGCGCTGAATCGCCCGTTCACGCTTACTTTGGAGACGACGGGATCTCTCTTCCAAAGTATCTCTCTTCTAAAGTCTGTTTTTGCTGATTCATCCTATCACCTATTCCGCAACTAGCATCCATTCTAATTTTATTTCCTCCTCGTCTCCCTATTAATTTTCTTTCCAAATCTCCCTCTATATCAGGGAGTCGTATACATAATACGACGAATATTGTGGCCAGCTGTTTGTGGCCAGCTGTTATGTATAATCCTGTAGAACCTTTGTAGTCACAGATACGGGACAGATACGGTAGCTCGAGGCGTGACACAAGCACACAAACAAACAAACACCATAATCACAGATATTTTTTTTATTGGACAGATACGGTAGCTCCAGGCGTGACACAAACACACACACAAACAAACAAACACCAAATCACAGATACGGGACAGATACGGGACAGATACGGTAGCTCCAGGCGTGACACAAACACACAAACATACAAACACCAAATTAAAGCTGTGTGGACCCTGGCTAGCGCCAGACGTTACTGAAGTAACGTCTTCTGCATAGCTACGGGAATAACTAAAGTTTGTACCAAACTACTTGGTCCGCGTCAGCGATATTGTCGCTTATCTTTCAGCTTTGTTTATTATGTCGCCAATGCTCACTTGGCAGCCCATTTCATCCCAATTTTGGTTAGTATGTTAGTTTAATAGTACCTGAAAGGACTAGATAGATTTCCAGTGGATTTCGAGAGCGACGGGTGGGTGATTTTGATTGATACAGCGCCGCGTCAAAATAGATGATCTTGTTACGCTGTGCAGGCAAGAGCAGCGCAAGCCACACGAAAGTAATCGGCTACTCGGAATCAGCTCCATTTTGCTGAACGACCGAGATCGCTCACCTCAGGGATCGCTCGTCAAGCTGAGATCGCAGCGCCCTTACCCCCAGCTCAACGCCCGGATTATCCAGCGTGACAAGGAGATTTGCAAGTACTGTACGCGTCATCGTCGTTCAAAATAAAATATTGCAACTTGAAGACCGGCGTCTGATTAGAACCACACAGGATGTCGTGCTGCCCAAGCGAAGTCCTATAGAGAAGGCGACCGTCACGATCGACTTCTCTTTAGAAAATAGCCAGGCAGCGGAGAGAAAGAGAGATGAGCTTGCAAAAGCAAGAGAGTCGATCCCGAGCAAAAATGTTTGTCACCAGGGCCAAGAGCAGCGACGAGGACCTAAAAAAATATGAACCCTTCCTTGGACAATACATTCCTCATAGCTAGTTGTCATTCTATACCTTACCTTCCATCGTAACAAGTTTTATCACTTCAAGTGCACGCGTTGATGTCCAAAGTCAAAGTTCAAATTGTCGAAAGATAAGCGACAATATTGCTGACGCGGACGAAGTAAAGTTTTTTTCTGAACGTTCGGGGTGACAGACCTCGATCAAAAACGAAATTTTGTACGTAACAAGCCTGCTGGTGGAGTGAAATAACGAAAAATTTCGTGAACAAATTTGTACTTATACAGTATTCTGCACTGTGTTGTGAACAAGCCTGTGTCATAGCATGGAGGCCTGCTTGAGCATATCAAGACCAATTTTAGAGATCTGATCCGAACTGAAGCCCATAGCTCTTCCATCGAAATCTCTAATCGCACTTCATCAGTAAGTAGGGGTAGCACGCATATGCTACAGCATCAACATATCTTTGAAGTGATGTGTAATGTACTAGTTTGGTTTAATTCAAACATACTGACAGCACCAAAGGCTCATACGAAGTAGTGGTAGCGACCTCGGCGGCAATTTCTATAGGAAAGGGGTTTGCTCCCCATACTGGGCGCCGTGCTTTTCCGCCGACTTTACTTGACATTAGACCGATCCACAAAACGCAAAGAGCTCATGATAAGACATATTTTATCACTGGTCCAATAACTTACTTGGTTGTTTGCAGACACTGTCAACTTCTCCACACTTCCCGGTACTTGGATCCATGCATCACCCTCCGGACGCTGTGCTGTTACACCCTGACGGAACCACAAGTCTCCTATGGGCACAATACAAGAACAAGGGGGCAGCATCAACAGCTTGTCATGGGACCAAACATATATCTGGCAAGGCCATTCTCTCACAATATTTTACTCGTTCTTAGTAGGAACCGGAGGTGTTTTCCTCTGGTGAAAAGGCAGAATTGCCTGTGCTCTCAACGAATTCAAAAAAAAGAAAGAAACAAACAAAACGGTGCATCTTGCCACATTATCAAAAGTACTTCTGGCGAGTGCAGCTGTGTGTGGTCTTTAACTAGAAATAGCATCGATAGGTCCTAGTTGGAGTGTGGTCTTCTGTCAAGTGTTACTGCACATGTACATGCACAGTGATGCTCAATGACATCCTGTCGATGCACTCCGACTCATGTATGCACCGGGGCGTTGCGCAGCCCTTGACCAGTCCTGCAAACACTGGGATTCGAAGTGGTGCAAGGCGCCAACTTGAGTGCCGCGACTGGATTTCATTCAGCAGGACTATACATGAGCCCAGATGCAGGTATGGGTGCATGTACATGAATCTGCACATATATTATTATTATTATACGCATTCCCGCGGCAGCGTCAACCAAGCAGTTATGCTTGATCCACACGTTCGCTTATGCTGGACATTGAAACAAAGCAGATGTAGACAGCTCCTAGAGAATGGGGCTCTACAAAACCAATGATCGAAGTTAGTCCTTCAGTAACATGGAGCGTCATAAAATTGGTCTCATTGGAAAAATGTCATCATTATTGTCTCCTCATGTAGCATCATCGTATATTATTGCATATGCTCAAAATAATGTGTTTGTGGGCTGTGCTGAATTTTCATAATGCTAGAAATTCGAGTGGCTTCCAAATCGAGCAGCGTACCTCTGTTGTCTCGCACCCAGACACGATGTGATCCCACCGTCACTTCAGTGAGAGTTCGGTCAGGAGCCGGAACACCTATTCTCTTCCAAGACGTGCCTGCATTCGAAGAAAGAGACAGACAATGCAACCAGAGTGTAATCCACGGCTCACGGCAGAGTCAGTCAGAATAAGTCTTGTTCTGCATACAGTAAAACCTGTAACTAAAGACCACCGTGACTAGCGACCAGCCTGGTACTACAGACCACCGTGACTAGCGACCAGCCTGGTACTACAGACCACCGTGACTAGCGACCAGCCTGGTACTACAGTAAAACCTGTAACTAAAGACCACCGTGACTAGCGACCAGCCTGGTACTACAGACCACCGCGACTAGCGACCAGCCTGGTACGAAAGACCACCGTGACTAGCGACCAGCCTGGTACTACAGACCACCGTGACTAGCGACCAGCCTGGTACTACAGACCACCGTGACTAGCGACCAGCCTGGTACTACAGACCACCGTGACTAGCGACCAGCCTGGTACTACAGACCACCGTGACTAGCGACCAGCCTGGTACTACAGACCACCGTGACTAGCGACCAGCCTGGTACTACAGACCACCGTGACTAGCGACCAGCCTGGTACTACAGACCACCGCGACTAGCGACCAGCCTGGTACTACAGACCACCGTGACTAGCGACCAGCCTGGTACTACAGACCACTTCGCCAGACACAGACGGTCTCACATTCATTATGGTTGTGCGCTGCAAATCTCTAACTAAGGACCACCTGCCACTAAAGACCGCTTTCTCTGGCCCCAAGGGGTGGTCGTTAGTCACAGGTTTTACTGTACATAGAAACGTCACCCAAGAATCAAATCAAACCTACCGCCAATAAAACAACAAGAAAAATGAACCCGTTATCACTTTCACAAGCCACTCACTGTGTTGATTAACTAGCTGTACTATAGGTAGCCCTTTCAAAGGACTGTATCAGCTTGCACATTCCACCTATGTAACAGACCACAGCTATCACATGTTATGTATCAAGTGTACTTCAAATTGTCCAAGTCGTCCAAATCGTCAAATTTTCAGACATGTTGTAGCAGTACGACAGCATAATTAGATGGTACTAGCAGATACATACTTAGAACATAGCAGATAAATGTAGATGGAAACATTACCCAGGGCGAGACAGCCAGAGCTTCTAATCATCACCTAAACTCTTAAGCCTTTCCCTGCCAAGCTTTGATCCAGGGTGCTGGCCAATTCCTTTCCAACGATGCATCATTCGTGAGATTTCCTACGAAAGTTTGAACACTTGTCTACATGTCGTGATGTGTAGTGTACACTGTACAGTTTTGGTGCGTCGCTCTACTCGATGCTAGCCATCCAGGGTACATTCTGAGCGTTGCGTATACGCGACGCTGGCGTGCAAAGAGTTGATATAAAGATCAAGTTGGTGAAAGCACTCCAGAATGAAGTCTGTGTACGGTGTAAGGTGTGTCATACCAGATTGCTTGATGTCCGTGATGCCAAGACGAATACAGGACCAGCCAGCATCACTGATACCCCACACGGCGCGATCCGAGCCCACGGCTATGCTGATGAACTTTGTGTTGCTGGATACCCAGCGCCATTCCTCGCCCTGTGTAACATACATACACACACAAACACACACGCGCGCGCACACACACACACACACACACACACACACACACACACACACACAGACACGCACATGATAGCTAAGGAGACCAGGGTTGTCAGATGGGATATAGCCAAGAAAGACAATATCCAGTCCTCAGCGTGTACTTTACAAGACAGAAAGTCAAGTCAAGTCCCAGTTACTTGCGAGCACCTAAAAATTTCTTTGCCGATGTGGAAAGTGAAGATGTATTACCAACCAATGCACAGGTGTCGGAGACGCTAATCGAGTCTGATGACCATCACGCACACATACAACAGAGACCGAGCTATAGCAGTAGAACGTACTATGACTTCAAGAGTTCAAATCCTTGTTCAAGCCACAAACAATATTTTCTATTTGTACTCGCAAACTCCATTGCAGCCATATACTGTTTAGGCAGAAATATTCGTGCGGAATATTTCCGTCCAAGGAGCTTTTGGACTAAATTAAATGCCGGACTAATGTCAATTTGTCCAGCTTTTCAATACACTCTCATGGACAAAATTTACAACCGGACAAAACTCCCTTTCTTTGGAGTTGGACGAAATCATTCCGGACCGATGAAATTTTCTGCCTGTACAGTACACAATATGGACCCTCTACTAACACACTCAAAACACGGTCTCTTTGCTGCTTGCATCACTTTAAAAAAAAGTGTTAAACTCGGTGAACAGTTTTTAGAAGTGGCGTATGCAGCAAAGAGACCCTGTTTTGAGTGTTTGAGCAGAGGGACAATAATGCACACAAAAAGGAACCGCCATAACTCAACCTACCTGTGGTTGAGAAGCGGTAACGCCGTAGCGGCAGATCACGTCCCCGTGCACGTCCATGGCCCAGACGGCTACGTTGTCATGGGCACCGATGGGTTGCTGTGGCCAGGTCTGCACGGACACACTGGCTAAGCAGTTTGGACAGGGCAAGATCTCCATCCAGGGGCCAGGCGTTATGATAGTCATTCTCCTGGATAGGTAGTAATGACACCATACATAACAAACAGCACAGTGGTTGAAATGAAAAAGGACCAAGGAACTACAAGTTTCGCTATAATGTCCACTAACACCACCAGTTACTAAACTTTACTAAACAAGTTATCCTTGGCTCTCCATCCGAGTCCATAGTGATATTTCGTTGACATTGACATTCTATTTCAAGGATTCTCCAAAGGCAAATGGATGCCGATCGATTTAAAGTGAGTCTTGTAAAGGATACGAGGTGAGAGGGCCCAGACAGCTGTTTTCTCAAAACTCGTTCAGTAAAACCTGTCTGAGGTGACCATTTCTGGGCTAAAGGGACTTGCTAAGGGACGTGATCCCAGCAGGGTATATTCTAGGACGAATTTCCAACCGGTTACGGTGGGGGGGGGGGGGTCCGTGGTTCCCCCTGGACATTTTTTTCAAAATACAACCCAAATATGGCACTCAACAGCAATTTAACAGATTTCTTGGTGCTGGAGTGTAGCAAAGATATAAGCAGCTCCATTCACCCACAGAAAAGTACGGGCGGTTGGAACTGATTTGTAACTTTTCAACCGGTCGCCAACAATTTCAACCGGTCGAAAACCGGTTGGGGCGGTTCTAGAAAATTCCCTGCCCAGATATGCAGGTGGTCTTCTTTTTTATTTTCAATATCCACGGCAGCCAAATTATCATCTCCTAAAATCACCACCACCAAGGCCTTACAATTTCAATAGATAGCATCTCCCCATTGTTTCAACCTTGTGACTTGATCACAAGGCGTACAGACAGGCGAATGCCCCGTCATGGTGCACTAAGGAATACCAACCATCCCATTACCTTTTCCACTTTCTGCTCCGCCGGCGTGGACCCTTCCTGGACCTCCAGTTGACAACAACAAAAACAAAAACAAAAAAACATATACATGATACCTGTAAGTGCTGCAGGCTAACAAAACAAATAACCGTACGCATGAGACTGGGCTAGAGGCCGAGCTGTTGGCATCCGTAGGAACGCCACCGCCATTCAAGCAGGCTAACACAGACAAGTCGAATGCAACGAGGATGGTTGGGAGAACTACAATGCAATGGATCAGTGGCGCTTTTACATCAGGTGAGATGTCTGAAGAAGTGGATTGCAATATGCAGAGTGTAACCAAGTGCATCAGTTACAGGAGATGATGAATCAATCAAACTCAGACAACAACAAGAGATGACAGGACCGACAGGCATGACTCTGCATGTACTACACGTTCCAGAGTATAAGCCACACTTTAACCCTTTGAGACCCATAGTACGGATATATCCGTACCAGTGTACAGTGCATACTTTTCAAAGCGCAACCTGGCGTAACTCGGCCGTCCCTTGACCAAATCGGTCAATCGAAAGGGCTATCCACATTAGAATTGTCTCAGCTATCGGCTCGAAAAAACTTGAAAGCGATCCGAGTTCGGAGAGCGGAGATACGAGACTCGAACTAAATTCGCTCAGCAGAGTCAACTCGAGCGCGTGCATTTTGAACTCGTTTTTAGGGGTTTCCCCTGACTCGCGGCCCACGCAGCTACAGATAGTTCACGTCATCGCAAAGGCATGTTTCTCAGCTCCCCAGTAAAAAAATTTGAGCGATCTGCGATGCAATTTGTCGAAATGGCAGAGAATCTGAGTTGGGCGCTCGCAATGCTGGCTTTGGAGCGCCGTATCGCGCTGCGGCGCTGGTTCTGTGGATCGAGTGATATATTGCTGGCTATCGCTGTGTTCCGCTGGCCAAGAGCTTTCCAGAAAGCCCAAGATCACCAAAATCAGCCAAAGGACACCAAAGTTACGACCAGATAAGTACCTGGGCTCGCGTATGCAGTGCATTTCTTGAAATAATTGTGGGACCTAAAGGGTTAAACACTAGGAATTCATCCAAAACAAGACGGTCAGGCTTATACTACGATGATGAGATACACGGTGGCAGGGGCGTCGGACATGTTTGACCGTACAACTTTTTGCCCCAGGTACCCCGTGAATCAATAAAATACAAGGATCTGAGATCTAAATTTCCAAAATTTCCGGCATTTTTCAGCTCAGCCACCACTCCCCCACGAGTAATTGTAATTGTACGTCAGATGGCTGACCGTACCACACTAAAATGCCTTTCGACGCCCCTGGGTGGTGATTAGGGTAGGAATGTGAACATAATAAAAACTGAAAAAAATTGAAAAAGGTCTGCATTCCGTGACAAAAATCTGGGTGCTGCTTAAACTCCGAAAAGTAAGGCACCTACAGCTTGCTCTTAGGTAGCCTTTGCCAGCCATCCTGGTCAGCGTTCTCAAAGTCAATCGACCATTCAGATGTCTGAACATATAAAACACATCAACAAACAAGCAGACAAATGTAAACAGGTATGTGCATGTATACACACACACACACACACACACACACACACACACACACACACACACACACACACACACAACAAAAAAACACTCGGACGTGCACGCACACATCAAACAGAATGAACACACAAATCAAGACAGCTGCACTGCACAAACGACTAGTGTGAAGATAGACCAGCACACATACATGCATAGCTGATCCTTCTTTCATTACAGGCAACGCAAACAACACTAGGTATCCATGTGTCATCATACACACCACAATGGCACATGTTCAGGCACATAATTACACCATTGTTATTGGGCAACCGCATGGGAGTGTGATGACCAGAAAAGCTATACTCAGAGCACAGGAGATGACAAAATGAAGATCAGCAGTTTGTGTGCTTAACCATAATAATCCCCGGATATCTAAGTCTCAAGTTTCACCATGCATCACCAGCTTTTCAACCGCAACAAGATGTTCATATCACTGGAGAAATTATAATATCTTACCCATTTCCATGCCTTGGAAGGCAGCAGTCCTTGCTTTTTGTCGGATGTGCGACCAAGATCATCCTCGTAAACACTGCCAAACACACACAGTGATGAACACAATGCACACACACACACGCACATGATACACATGCACGTACACACACACACACACACACACACACACACACACACACACACACACATGCACACCATCTATACATGATGCAGTTCAACGACAACAGTATCAGGGTTCTAGCCAGGCCAATATAGTAGGGGGGGGAAACAGTTACCTCGTAACCCTTTTCCATTTTCAAAATAACTGTCTTGCTATGTAAAATGCAACGTACGTGGCGAACACACCTGACGTCACCCCAGACAAATGTGCCTTTATGAACCCTCCAGTACTGGCTATTGACTGCTTTTTCGTTGAATGGCATGAAAAAAACACAAAAATCGGAAAATCAGTAAGGGGGGGGGGGGCGCAAACAGAGTAGAGGGGCGCTGCACCCCCTACCCCCACCCCTCCCCCCCCCCCCCACACACACACACATCCCCTTTGGCTAGAACCCTGAGTATACTAATGGAAACGAAACATGTTTATACATAGAAAACACATTGGAGCGAAGTTCTTAAATGTTCTCTGGGTTGAACATGCAGAACACGAGCATAACTGTCTAAACCAGGTACACCAGAAACAAATTTGTAGGGCTACAAATGAAGGTACAGATTTTAAGAATAATTATGTCTGACTCTTGTGAAATTTAACACGAGCATAACTGTCTAAACCAGGTACACCAGAAACAAATTTGTAGGGCTACAAATGAAGGTACAGATTTTAAGAATAATTATGTCTGACTCTTGTGAAATTGCATGATTCTTGCAAAGCTTATTGACAGCTAGACAATACTGTTCTCCCACTCCGGGTACCTAAATACTAAGCTAGTTCTACCGACCTGTTGTTCCAGCTGACACCCTTTGTTTGCTGAATCTCGGTAAGTTGATACCAGCGACAGTCGGTGTGTTCCTGTAGGTTAGAACTGGTGGCATCCACACCTGCACACAGTGTATGATAAGAGCAGAGCAAGCAGATGAAGGGCAATCCTGGAACATGAGTTTTAGCACAATATATTTCCGCCGATTAGACAATCCGGCTTAGGCCATGGCAAAGAAAAACATAATGATTCCAGGCACGAATCCATAACAATCGGTGCAAGCAACCGACGTTGCATTCACTTTTACGCTGAAGTTACTATTATGCTCAATCTCAGGATGGTTAATTCGACCTGGCTAGATCTCATCAGCGGAGCTCGGAGTGATAAGTGAGAAGAAAAGAGCAACTGAAACAAAACAAGAGTATGGAATGAAAATTAGGAAGTACAGAAAGAAGGCACAAACTCAATAATACGATGATCCGATGCAGGAAAAAAATCACGGTTCGCGTCAGACTCGGCTAGAGGCCAAGATTTCCGTATCCGTAGGAACGCCACCGCCCTTCAAGGATCAAGGTGCAAATGCAGCTCCTAAAGCGGTGGGAGGTGAGTAGATCAGCTCACCAGCAAGACTAAAAATCCCATTCACTGCACCCATGTTTCGCATGCAGCAAGCACACAATCAATTGGTACTGGGACAAGACTGCTCAAACTCAAATGATGCATTCTCGTTACTTACTTTGCACAAATATTCCACCGCCAAATCCTCCATTGTAGGCCAGTGGTGTTCCATCAAAGCCGATACCCCACACGACGCCAGCAGCTCCGGCTGAGATACTGCGTAAGTTACCGCCAATAGCTCTCCACCGCCTGCAATCAACAAGTACAGACATTTTACCACACTTCCCGGCACGCCTCACACAAGCACCTGAAAAGACTCCAATAGACATTACATCAGTCTACACTCTGTGTGACCTACATATGACTATTATAAACTTCATACCGTAACTTCAGGTAGCCAGACCAATGAAATCCCCCAATAGCGTTAACTCCCCATCGGAGCCCACGCTTACAACCAAGATGCATACTACTGTACCACAGCAGCTCACAGTCACTACCAAACCAAACAAATTCACAAAGCCACAGACAGAAACTGGCCAGGGGGAGGGGGTCAGATTTCACTGCCCTAAATGTTAATCCAAAGTACATAGCGTATGTTGTCGTCAAATGTACACATATAAAGTGAGAACTGTGCAGCGTAGTCTCACCTCTCATGTGGCAGTCCAGGATTCTTAGGTGGATCGCTGATATAGACTTCACCAGACTGTGTCAGTGCCCATAGTGCATTTGGAGCTGGAGGACCGTCCAGGGCTTGGGAACGGATAGCAGCAAGACTAATGGCTGTGTACTGTGCACAACAACACAAGCCAACAGTAGTCAATATGTTATGCACACATCCATACATAGAGAACGGTGTAGCCTTCCTAAGAATACAGCAACAGTAACAGACGACCCAAAAATGAGACCCCCCCCCCTCCCACACACACGCACGGACTGACCCACGCACGCACGCACGCGCGCACATGCTCACACACGTACATACACGTACACACAAACACACACACACACACACACACACATCTCCTATATTCTAGGAACACCCATTGCCATTCTTGCACAACTCACCCAATCGTCTCGATCTCGTTCGTCCGCACAGCACAGCAGAATAAATCGGTTGTATTCCGTGTGTTGTGGTGTGTGTACTACAAAGCAGTATGGCTGACCAACATCATCCGATGGGATAGGCATTACACAGCTTACATCACCCAAGTTGATACGCTCCACCTAAAGAGAAACAATCAGACATTAGACAGCACCAGCTGAACAACAAGGAAGTACATGTAGTCTGAAGATACGCCCTGTTGCTACGATTCCCGGAGAAACAAAATAATGAATTTCCTGTCGCTGTAAGCTTGTGTTCTATTAAGTACATGTATGCCAATACAAATAGACCTGCCTCTAGTGACTACACTCTTAGCTGTGGACAAAACCGGTTCAAACAAAGTCCACTTAAAGGTAACCAGACCGTTTACTTGTGACTTTTATCAGTGAAAAAATTGATTGTCACCACCGGGACTCGAAGCAGGGACTCTCACTGATGACCAGCGATACTCTACCAGTAAGCTATGGTGTAGCTCAGTCCTTATAGACTGGACTGTGGAAGCTTACCGTGTTAGCCGCCATGTTCATCAACTCCAACTGTCCACCATGCCTGGATCCCCGGTTCAGAACAGCTGATACTGAAGTGAAGTTGTACGGCGGATGAGAGGACGCGTTCACCGGACACCACGTCAGCGGACCCTTCTTCGACCAGACACCCTGCACAGACGAACACAGGATGCCACACACATACACACATCACATCATGTGTATGCATCCACAAACGCACGAGCACACTAGCATAAACGGACAAAGGGGACAATGTGGGGCGGCGCTGGGCTATCAGATGCGGGTGTCCTCTCATCTCAAGGGATACAACATTCGAAATTACTATAGTGTCTTGTATTAAAAGCCCGTCTCATAATTATAGACGCCTGTCTTGAATAGAGACCTGACTTTCAAGACACACTGTCGGCACATAAGCCTGCTTTTAGCGTTGACACACATAGAAATACCCGTCTTATATAGAATCCTGTCTCATAGAAGTCTGCAAAATTTCCCCAAGAAAGTCATAGAAGCCGCGGCTTTTATACACAACTTACGGTATGCGATGTAGACTGTGCCGCACAAACTGCTCAACACACAGGAACCTCCCTGTATTCTTTTCGCATATTTACGAGTGCAGTCAGACTTCCCTTAACCGTACACATACCTTTTTCCACACAAATATCCGGATAGGCGAGGGAACCGGATAATCGAACACACATTCTGTACGTATGCATGACATATGCTGTAAATCGGTAACCAACGATTTTCTTCCGGACGGCAAGGGATCCGGATAAAAGAGGACTGACTGTACCTGGAATTTAAATCACACCTAAATATTTACTATCTGTTGTACATTGTGGGTTACCCTTCACATCAATATCAGGGGCGGCTAAGATCAAGAAGGCAAATCAGAGCTGGAGTGATCATAGCGGTACGATACCACAACCCGTACGGAACAGAACAATAGTGAAGCCTATCTACATGTAGAGAGAGGTATTGCACATACACTATCGCCACAGTCCATGCTGTCTTTGAAGGCCGCCACTTCACGCTCGTTACGCTCGCGCAGCTGCCGCAGGATGTTCTGCCGCCAGCCGGTCTTGCGCAGTACGGACTCTCGTCGCTTAGTGGTGCGAGCACGGCGGCATAGAGTTACTGCAGCCGTCAACCCAGACCCTAGGAAAGCACCTGTGTATGATAGTATGAGAAAACAGACAAGCAAGGGCAATAATGCTTGTATTTCAACATTCAACTGCTGAGTATGAAAGCACCTGTGTACAGCATGATATGATACATGCAAGAGAAATCCCATGTGCTCAGAACTCTGAGGTACTGAAAAGGGGAACTTCTGGGAATATTGACTTTCACCGCCAGACTCGAAACATTGACCTTTGCTATAGGTCAGCGATGTTCTAACCGCTGAGTCATGAGCTGAGCTGATTTCTAGATATTGGTATCTCAGCATTCAACTGGTTGGTAAGGACATCAGCTAATGCACAAGCAACGGAGGAGGGACGGTGGTGAATATGGCAAAACACATTGTCCTGCTTCATTCATGTCTAGAAAGATGTAAGGCTGGAGAATTAGGTTTAAGTTGGATCAAAACCATCGCACTATCATATGGTTGCCTGGGTTGCCTGATGACATCATCACACTGGCTTACCTGGTTTAGTGACATCATCATGCGGTGGTACACATCCACCAGCTGATATCCATTTCCAGCAGTGCACACTCATGACTGGGTGCTCTGGACGAAAGCTGTGACTAAGCACTCTGGAGATGGGACCTAGTTCATCTTCTGACGGCTCTTCGGTGGACGATGTTGCTGTGACCTCCATGGGTGCTGGGGAACTTGTAACTTCTACCAATGGGTTCAAAGCTGCTGCTGCTCCTTCCGCTGCCGCTGGTGATCCTGCTCCTTCTGCTACTGTTGCTTCTGCCGCTGATGGTGTGGATGACGCTGATGCTGCTCCTGCTCCTTCTGCTACTGCTGAGGGTTGTTCTTGGTTTGAGGCTGATGTCACTACCTTGGACTCTGCCGTAGCTGTGCTTGCCTCTGCCAATGCCAGAGCTGCAGCTTCTGCCACTGCAGTTTCTGCCGCTGATGATGTGGACGGCTCTGCTGCTGATGCTGCTTCTTTTGATGGTTCAGCTGGAGTTTCGGCTGCTACTGGTGACTGCTGTGTGACATTCATGGCGGGAGATTGCTCACTGTCTCTTGGTTCCGTATTAAGTACATGATGTGTCCTGAGATCATGAGCAGTTGCTGCAGTACTAGATGCAGCTCCACTCTCAAAGCCTGATGCAATGCCCTTGTCTGAATTACTGTCGGCGAAGACGTCCTCTTCTCTGCTTCCGCACCGTGACGCCACTCTGTCGATTCTCTCTTCCAGGCCGATGGCAATGTTAGGGTCATATCTAGTTTTGGACAGGATAACATTCTCACCATCGCTGCCATCGTTGTTTTCAGTGGCCATATCACTAGATGGTATGAGAGTGCCGTCTGTTTCGTCTACTCCTTCTGCTACAGGCCCTGCAGTGTCCAAGCTAGGGTTGAAGCTGTGAGGTACTTCTTCTTCATCGGCATTGCTTTCGGGTGCTTCTGCTTTACTAGCACTGCTTTGGGATCCTTCATCATCAACCAGTTTCGTGTCTGTATCAGGCGCTGACACTACTGCAGTACCGTCCGTCTCCTTGCTCTCCCTAGACATCCCTGTGACACCTTCACTATGTGTGTTGGTAGCAGCAGCAGCAGCAACAGCAGCATCACCAGCACCATCAGCAGCAGCAGTAGCAGTAGCAGTAGCAGTAGTAGTAGCATCAGGAGCACTGACTGAATGCTCATCGGATGTGTTGCTACTGACAGTGGCCGTGTCCTGCTGACAGTCGGTCTCTCCTTCCTGTGCCGTCAGGTTAACGGAGATACCGGAATCGGTGGTTGTACATGAAGAAGATGCAGTCGGCACGTTCAAAAGAGGACTGTCTCGACTTAGTCGTCTCTCGATTGTGGCTCCGGAATCCTCGGCAGGTCTTGGTAGGGTGTGTTTTCGACACGGTATGCTATCGGAGGGTGTGGGCTGTGCCTTGGTGTTGTAGGGCTCCTGTGTGGCAAAGGAAACCTTGACAAAGTCGCTCATGTCGGGACTGCATATGTTGGGTACTGTAGTCTTGAGCGTATCACCTCCAGTGGTGGATGTTGCCGCTGATGTTCCTGCTGCTGCTGCTGTGGGATGCTCACTACCACCGTCTATGGACTCACTTTCGGACGCCAGCGCTTGAAGACGCGCCACGTGCGACTCTGTACTGGTTGGGTCGTCAGAGTACACCGCGCACGCTCGGTGACCTTTGCTGGTGCGCACAAACTCCGGCGAGGCGTTCTCGTGTGTGCTTTTCCGGTGTGCCTCGGCCTTTGCGATCATGCCAGGACTGAAGCCAAAGCTGCGGCTGCGGCCAGGTGGCATAGCCGAGAGCTGATCGGCGATCTGTTCTTCCTGGTCGAACAGCGTGCTAGCAATGGTGGGCATAGAGCTAGTGCGCTCTCTACCGCCCATACCCGTCTGCTGCGCGCTGTCACGGACCACCGATGCTCGGTCACGACGCTTGACCACTCCCGCAGCTTTATCTGCTGAACAAGGAAAACACACAGGTGAAGGCACATACAGAAATGGACGGTTTCAAGGATTGGCACAAACATACATAGGAATGGGTGGTTTCAAGATCTGGCACACTGGACAGTCAATTCTTAGAGAGGCTGGTACTATTAATTAAGGGGGGAGGCATTTCAACAAATGTATTCGGATGACAGACTCTTCTCCATTGGATATATTCCAGAAAGACTTTTTGGAGCCACGTTCGGCTTCTACATATGTATCTACCTTGCCTTCAACACATGCACATCTCCCTGAAAAATTAGAAATGGCTAGATAAGACATAACAACTTGTCTCCATGTTCATACATGCTACATGAACAAGGGATACGTCCCAAGATTTACACTGAGACTTACTTCGCTGGCAAGGTCTCAAACCTGAAAACATATGCAGCATGCATGCACCTAGGAGGTGAGATGCGTCTTCGCTGTACCTTCAAATCTCACTCTTTAGGTTATCGTGCCTAAGTCAACTGGATCACTTAGTGAATAAAACTTGATGTCACAGACTAAATGGCTTCTCCTTTATTCAAGCTCCCCGGGCTGACCCAAGCACACACGTTTGTATCCATAATAACTACATACCTTCAGCTTGTACTTGCATTGGTCGATCTTCCGCTACAGTACCCATGATGGGTGATGATCGTCCAAGGCTGATAGCACTCATACTCAGGGATGGTGAGGGGGGATTCAGTGACACAGGTGTTGGGTTGCGAGTGCCTTCGGACCTTGTGGAGCGACGGAACGACTGCTTGGAACGCAGAATTTGACTCCTACATTAAACCATAATGCAGTGAATGCATACAAAAATACATCTCCAATCTCAAAACAGACCAGACCTGTAACTATGTTTATGAAAGTTCATCACCCTGCCCTACAAGGACTGATACACTGGTCGTAATGGGGCACAGAGAGCAAGCATAGACTGACTCATCCGGTGATCAAGTCAACCTTGCCACTGTTGGAGAATGAAGAAGACAGCAAGAGATTTTAGGCGAGTGTTGGACATTATGCTTGGTATAAAAAGAGAGGGACCGCTGATCTTGCGACACGAAATAATCCACACACATGAAAACCCTCAGGGATACGTGGTGAAGTCCTTACGGTTACGGTTAAGTGATGCTGAAGTACGACTCAATCACACATTATCACACATATCCCCACAAGATCACATGCAAGTGTGGTTTCTGACCTGCAGTCCTACAGGTTTGTATGCGAGCGATGGCACTACAGAATTCGCCAGGACCTCAATATCATGATGATAACCCTCTGAATAGCTCACCTAATCATGGCTGCACCAGCTGTGTCCATCTCCAAGGCAGAGGATCCAGAAAGCTTGTGCTCCTTCTGCAAGCGATTCTTCTCCTCGATGTACGCCTGCCGTCCCAAATTACCATGGAGTTCCACCCAGGTAAGACCACCGAGCTCTTCACGACGCACACCACTACGACACTGCACCGGCCATCCTCCAGCTCCCAGCATGTACACCTGCAGGTTATGATTTGAAATTGAAAACCGATATAATCTTATGAATGAGGACACACACGTAAGCAAGTAGGGTGTGCCACAGTTCGATGTGTGCTGAATGCTCTTAAAACTTAGGTAGAGCTCTCCACACAGTAGAGAGAGGAAGTTGCCTGATCATAGAGAAACAAATTTCTTCCTCCCCCCCCCCTCTCTCTCTCTCTTTCTCTACTGTGTATGAACACACATACACACCTGAATTCTAACATAGCAATTCTAGCCGAATACACGTCACCATTCACATGTGCTCCGGAGAACACCTGAGGATCAATTCAACTGTGCCCTGATTACGCCACGTAGTGCCATACACCATTCGCCGAATACACCATTTGCATGTGCTCCGACGAATCGATTCAACAGCGCCCTGGTTACTCAACGTTGTGCCATACAACACAACTAAAGAGACCTATCGATAGAAACCAGCACAAGATAGCTTCATTACCTGATCGTCTGGTCCGACAGAGAGAAACTCGCTTTCACCAACCATCTCTACCCACTCCGAACCTTCCATTGAAGACTTGACAGAATCATTGGCAGCTGAGACAATACCTTTGCGGAACCAAACCTACAAACAGCAGACGACAAGTAGCATATCGAGGCATCCAGTTGCAGCACGAGTAGTAGCACGAAGCAAAACGTTGTGTGCATTACCGCAAACCCATCCACACGTGTACACGTATCAGCAGCACATACCCACCCAACACATTGATACAAACTAAACACACAGACACAGACACACACACACACACACACACACACACACACACCTTCCTTCCTTCTTCCACTGCCATGACTGGCTATGTGGCCCCATACGGGGCAGACCCCGTATGGAGGGACACAGACACACACACACAGACACACACAGACACACACAGACACACACACACACACAGACACACACACAGACACACACACACACACACACACACACACACAGACACACACACAGACACACACACACACACACACACACACACACACACACACACACACACACACACACACACACACACACACACACACACACACACACACAGACACACACACACACACACACACACACACACACACACACACACACACACACACACACACACACACACACACACACACACACACACACACACACACACACACACACACACACACACACACACACACACACACACACACACACACACACACACACACACACACAGAACTACAGCAGTGTAATATCTCCACATACCTTGTGTCCAGTGCTGGTTGCCCAGACCACGTTGAGACCAACAGCAATGTGGGTCAAGAAGTACATGCCTGGTGAGGGAACATGCACCCACCGAATACCTGCATATACATACACAAAGTGCACACACGTACGCACGCACACATGCACGCACACACACACGCACACACACATGAATACAAGCATACATGAATTGCACAGGTACAGGCTGAAAACGACAAGCCAACATCCTATGTATGTATACGTTTGTGCCTGTCCTTGAAATCACGTATGGTACACCAGGAGAACTGTGAGTTGATCAACTGGTCTGTGACTACTATGTCTTGGAAGAAATGAGAATACAGTCAGACCCCGCATAACCGCACACATCCGTTTTCCACAAAAATACCCGGATAGGCGAGGGAACCGGATAATCGAACACACACGCACACTGTATGTATGCATGGCATATGCTGTAAATCGGTATCCAACGATTTTCTTCCGGATGGCGAGGGATCCGGATAAAAGAGGACTGGATAAGCGACGTCTGACTGTATCCATGGTACGACTGTGAGTAAACTCGTGGGTAGTGGTGTCAACAAGTCACAGCGTTATGTGAACATGAATCATGGGCGTCTCTTTACCTGAAGGTCTTTCTCTGGATGCTCCGACGCGTACGAAAGCTGACCCATCATACGTTGTAGCCCACACTGAGCCAGACGGTCCAACAGAGATCTGAAGAATAAAAACAGGAAATGGAAGCACTCTGATGGTCTGAAGCAAAAACTACCAATACCTGGTGCATAAGATACCCCCATTCTTGAAAAGATGTCGATTATACCTTGACATTGTGCATGATCATCTGAAGCCGGGCTTATAAACACTAACACGTTACTAGTAGGACCAGCACATGCATCCATACACATGAATTCAACTATCTTAGACTACATCATACATAGATTAGTGGTAGAGCATCGCTGGCCATAAGCAAGGGTCCCTGATTCGAGTCCTGGTGGTGACAGTCAGTTTTTTTCTTCAGACTTTTCTCGTTTGTACCTTTCCCTAAAACTAACGAATATCAATTATCTTACCTGATTGATGGCCTTCTGAGCTGTGGGCACCTTCAACCAGCTAACACCTTCCGGTGTTGTGCGGGTGACTCCTTCTCGAAACACAACCTTTCAGGCACACAATTTTAGGCATAGAAAGCATAAATACGTCAGTGCACACCTCTCAAACAATAGACACATATCTACCACATTCAATCCTGCGACAGCTAGCCAATTCGATCTCGTTAGGTGTCATCAGCGGAGCTCAGCGTGACTGGATACACCGACCAATGTGCAGTCTAGTGAGCACAATCATTCACCACATTCAGAGTCATAAAAATACGCCAACATCAACCTTGGGTAAAAAGCCTACTAGTACTCTTGGTAGTAATTTAGAAAAAAAACATGTCACTCTCATCAGGCGTCCAGCGAGTGCCACCAGTACATGTTTGTGTGGCACGTGTTGTGAGCTGCCTTCGGGGTGAAAAACTTGTCAGCGCCTTGTAGGTTCAGCCTAATCCCATAGATCAGGGTTTGTAGCATTGCTCATAATAAGCAAGGTCCCAGGTTTGAGGCCTGGTAGGGTTGGCACTTTTTTAAACGTTTCATGCAGTTCATGTTCAGCCTTCTTTGCTTCATTCAAAGAGACAGCCATCACACAGTACTCACTGTATCCCGCAAGGTCACAGCCCAGACACACAGAGCTCCATTCTCTCGACCCGGCAGCTCCGTACCACCGACAGAGATGTCCCTGAACGGATCGTATCTATGATTCTCCGGATCAATACCAGGTACCTGCACACAGCACATAGAGCACACAAGCACATCCATACGTATGCAGTATTGTGAACAAGCTAGGCACATTGTGCCCATTGAGCCCACTCCCATCCATGTCTTCTACATCTCTTTTATGTGCTCTGGGGCTTGCTAGTCATCGTTCATGAGCAATATGGATGTACACAATGCTGCACGAAACCCATGCAGGGCGATATCTGCGGATAGATTTCTGCTCAAACGATGCCATCCGTAAATGCACAGATCAAGAGTGGTACCGCCTGTGGTTGAGTACTGGGAAATGCTATACACTCGTTGCTGATTGGCTGTCTACACGGTTACAGTCACATGACATGAGACAGGACACTTTCACATACACCCCAGTCAGCATGCCTATACTATGAGAGGATTCAAAACCAGGACACGATCTGTACTCACCACCTGCCAGGACTCTTTCAAGATGCAGCAGCTATGAGTGCAAGTACCAGTACCCTAACTCTACCAACCTCAAACAAAGAGGGTAAAGAAGAACATTGCACCCCGAACAGGCGGATAGGCTGACATGGGTAGCTGACAAACGTCAACCATTGCACAGCACAGCTATCAGCCATTGAAACAGACAACTTTCGCTGGACGCACACAATATACGGCAGTACACGTACCGGGGCGAAGCGATCACTCATAGTGTAGGCTCGGTGTCTAATCCACCGTCGCTGACGGACACCCTTGTGCGGGCTATACCACCCCTGCAACAGACACGGCAACACAACAATACCAGAACAGTACATATTAAGGCAAACGTGCAGTAAACATACCAAAGTGAAGAACGCTCATAAGGTGTTGGCCAAACCGGTAGCGAGTTACCCTGCAGCGGGGACTCTGCGTACAGTCAATTATATCAGTAGGCTGCGATACCAGTATTTGCCGACCATGACTATTTCACACCGTAAGTATACTGTTATTTCATAATTTTCAGTGCACTTCCATTTTGGTATTTTCTGTGCATCTCTCTTATCCCCACAATAGCTACACAAAAAAGGATCTGCATCATCCACTAGGAAACTGCTTCTCTGTACCTAAGTTTTCAGATCAACCAACATGGTCGTCTGGCCTCATACCTACAAGTAAAATTGTGAGCATCAAATATTTCCGGGATTAAAGTAATGTGATTACATCATCACTTGAGATGCTCTGTGTGGAGTGACGTCATCAAGACTGGATTTCCACAGTAGTAGTAGTAGTATTTATTATTTATTATTTACTAAGGCAATCCCCACAGACTGTAAGTCTTTTTACAGGGTACCCTAGGTAAGTGCGTGAAATAGAGCTGAATGAAGAAAGCCGTAAGTGCATGAAATAGAGTACCGTACTGGCAATATATGTTGCCGCAGTGAGGCCATGAAGCGTTACATTGGCACATGTTTGCCGCACGCAGGGCGTTACATGCAAAGTCGCACAGGAGCCGTTACACAGGTTTCTATATTGCCGCAGTCCTTTTTTTGCTATTGCCGCATCACTTTTTTGCTATTGCCGCATCATTTTTTTGCTTTTGCCGCATCATTTTTTCTTTTCATCCACATTGAAGGCACAGAAATTCAGTTGCTATCCAACTGTTACAAACCCGACGGCAAAGGGCGACAACGATATCAATAGAAGACTGTATATTTTAACTATCAGAGTGATTTGTTCACAAAAAGATCATCAAAAGGAAAGTGACATAGGGGAAGAGCGCTTCCTCCAAAAACTACTGTCACTCACACAGTTAATGAGTGTACAACATCATGTATTACAAAGTCACCGTGGCTATCATTAGTCATCATTGCTGCTGGAGTCGTCATCGCTGCTCGAGCCATCACTGCTGCTGGAGACTTTTCACCACGCGGTACACGTGCTTTCACAGTTTTCAGCCTTTTTTTGGAGTGCAAACTGCAATGAAAAGATCGCCGCACCCCGCCGGATGCGCGTTACGAACTCAACCAAAATTTGTCGCACTAGCCTGGTCGCGTGTTACGCCGCACCCCCTGCGTTACGCGTTACGCGGCAACATATATTGCCAGTACAGTAAAATAAAAACGGTGGCTGCATACATGCACTATGCCGCATTATGTGTTGCAAAAGAGGCTGCGTAGAATACTGTTGAACATTGCAAATGAGGCTGCCTGGCGGCATGCTGCTGGAAGCGAATTCCACCTGTCAGCAGCCAGGTAGGGCAAAGCATAGAAACCATACCGTGATGAAGCATTAGGCAGGGCTAAAGCGAGGATGGACTGTCCCCTGGTCAAGGCATCCGTATGGTTGCTATTTGATCGAAGTACAAAAAGCTCAGCAAGTAGAGGGCTGCGGCGGCCGCAGGCTCGGTCTCAGGCTTCATTTACACGACAACGATTGAAAAACGTTTTCAATCATGTTTGAAACGTTTTTGCTGTTTACACGAAAACGATAAGTGTGTAAACTGCAACGCGTTTTTCGGCGCGCAATGGTCACGTGCAATAAGTTGGCCTGGTGCAGGCTGGCGGCAGCATGCTTTGAGTACAAGGCTCGTAGTAGTAATACCTTTTTTGCCGTTTACACAAGAACGAAACGGAACGAAAACGATTGAAAAACACTTTGAAGGCCGTTTTTCGTTTGAAACGTTTTTGAAACATTTTTCAGCGTTGTCGTGTAAACGCTCTTATCAAAATCTGTGGAAGCGAATTCTTTTTTTAAACGTTTTTGACAAAAACGTTTTTCAATCGTTGTCGTGTAAACGAGGCCTACGGCATGCACAATGCTTTCTTTCGAATAACCTTAGTACAGGTCCTCCCTCATTATAACGAGTCCGGATAGTACATAAACCCAGTTTGTAAAAAGAAATCTGAAATCCCCTGGCGATAGGTGGTAAATACAACTGTTTACAGGTCCGGTTACAACATAATTCGTTAGTACATGAAATTCGTTATAACGACCCTTTACCAAGGCCCCTGGAGTGCCAAACCCTCAGTATAAGATGACATTGACAATGCAGGACCAACGCCAAAACACGTAGGATAAAGCAGAAAGACGCAACGTATTATGTCTACGCATTTGTAGAGATAGACGATCTTTTGCATCCAAGGAAGAGCTATGTTAAAGATTTTCAATTATCTTATAACAAGTTGAAGCGTCGGTAATTTATGTTGTATCGAGGGTAGCCCAGGTAAGTACGAATTAGTGCCTATTTCACCTTTAGCTGCAAGTCCTGTTACAAGACAAGTCTCGTTATAAGGTAACTTTTTCAACGGCCCAGAGATTATCTACTAACGAGGGAGGACCTGTATTGCAGATCACCGCAGCATGGCATTACCCCCAATTCGGTTGTCTTCACTTGCATGATGCTGAGATGGAACATGGGGAATGTGCATGTGTGTGCGTTTGTATGTGTTTATGTATGCATATGTGTAGGGGGGGGGGGGGGGTGGAACTGCATATCAGTGCTTCCTAATGAATGGTGAACTTCCAGCTTCGTGTTCTGGTAATGTCAGTTTCCTACAAACGGTAACTTACGTTCGAGTCGGTCTCCGTGTGATCATGGTCCACACCCCACGCTCGCTCCCATTCCCAATTCACGGACGGCAGTTCAATGTTTTGCGGGTGCGCCCGTTGCTCTGTTCCATCGCTATTCGTCCAGGCTGGGTGACCACTGCCACTGCGCCCCAACAGGCCTCTGGTCTCCGTTTCGTACACGTCCACCTCCACACGTATCGGTACGTATGTCGAGTGCACGTACACTACGGGGCGATCGTCCACGTCCAAGCCCCACGCACAATCACGTGTGGCGCTGATGCGTTTCAAACGCCCCTTGACAAGCTTCCACTGCTCCTCTGGCTCCGCTACTTCGTCGCTGGTGTCCTGTAGCGCTCCAAGAAATCGGAACACTCTGCCCTCGCTGTCCAGCAGCCATAGGCCAACTCCTGTCGTCATTGCTGCTAGATTCTATTGTCCCAATACTGACGGTACTGAAGCTTTCCCCTTTTTTCAAGAATTTTTAATTGTCAATTTTATTGGCTGGACTCTCCACACCGCGCTATTCTCCTCCCAGCTTCCTCTGCGTCCGAGATGCTACCGCACTTCATCGTTCTTGGTGCTTGTTGGCATGATCAAAGCGTCGACACTAGCCCGGCAAACCAATATATTATTGCGCCCCTGGGCCCTCCTCGACACCACTAGCTGCACTACAAACTACAAAAATTTCAAAACGAAACGTTTGATTGAAGGAGTGCCGAAAGGACATGCATGCATGGCACTTGCAGTGCGAAGCGCCACACGCCAACTGGGACAAACGCTCAACAGCTGCTGTAGTGCACCAGTGCAAATCGTCGGCGGAGCTCGCGCTAGCTCCGAAGACTTTTTCCGACGATCTTTTTCATTTTTTTGTGCTGATTTTGATATTTTTCGCAAACATCATCCGATGGAGTACTTGACGTCATGACCTTGTAATTGTATGATCTGCGAAAAGAATGACGACGCTGGTCTCTTCTGCTCTCGCTGCATTCTAATCTTGTGCAACATTAGTTTTTTTTCCTTTCTCGGAGGCCATTGCCATTGGTTTGCGAAGCGGATACATTGGTTTGGTTCAGCTGGCAGATGTTTCATCAAGTTGCTTGTGGAGCTGGAAGAAGAGTAGTGTCTTTTTTCGGCAGTGCCACGTTCAAATCAAGCCGCGTGCCGTTTTTGAGGACACTGACAATGGCTGCTGAGAAACGATTTGAAATGGGCGAGGAGGTGGCAGCGTTGCGAAAGAATTACGAAAGTGCACCGTTCACAGAAGACCAGCTGGTGTCTGATCGCGATCCTATAGCACAGTTTGACAACTGGTTTAGCCTGGCAAAGGAAACTGGAACTACGTATGAGGAGGTACGAAATCTTTGTGATTTCAAAATTTTATGATTTGGATTTTGACTTTTCCATACCATGAGCATTGCGTACTACAATCTACTCTCTCGGCACAACATCACGTGGTGCATTGTGGCTGATGATTAGCAGACTTTGTCCGGGTACATGTGTTCTATTTTGATTTCTACTTTTTACGTTTGGCAAAATTAGACATGTAATGTCCAAATTTGAAATTGCAATACGTAATTTCCTGTGTAGTATACAAACTGTTCAAATGTTGACACAGTGTGTGTACTTGCGAAAATGCTTGTAAGACAATGTCAACTGTCTGCTTGACCTGCTGGCTGATCCACACATGTGCAAGCATGCATTTTGGTATGCACACGTACACGCTCGATGATCAACATTTCTATATACACGCGAACGTCCACACACACGCACCCACCCACCCACATACATCCACCCACATACACACACACACACACAACACACACACCATCCTATGCATTGATCTACATTCGCAGACAAAATGCACAAGCATACCCAGCTATGTCCCATGCTACATGCACCAAACCGCCGCCTTCATGCCAGTACTGTTACTCGCACTGATTGACAAAAGATCTCCCGCAAATAGCTCTCGCTGATCAATGTTCTGTTGTGCTCTACGCTGTGCTAGCAGGTAAACGCTATGACATTGGCAACATGCACCCCGGACGGACGACCATCGGCTCGTGTTGTCCTGCTGAAGGGATACGGTCAGGACGGTTTCCGTTTCTTCTCTCACTACGACTCTCGCAAGGGCGGCGAGCTGTCGGCGAACCCGTTTGCTGCCCTCGTCTTCTACTGGCCGGCGCTGAACAGATCCGTGCGCATTGAGGGACGAGTGGAGAGACTACCCGCGGACGTGTCGGAAAAGTACTTCCACTCGCGGCCGCACGGCAGCCAGATTGGCGCGGCATGCAGCAAACAGAGCACTGTGATTGAGTCGCGCGACCAGATTGCGCAAGCGTACAGCGACCTGGCGACCCGGTTTCCGGAGGGGACGGACGTCCCGCGACCCGATCACTGGGGTGGGTTCCTGGTTCGTCCGGATGCCATTGAGTTCTGGCAGGGCCAGTCCAGCCGACTGCACGACAGGATAAAATTCAAACGTAGTGATGACACTGAGGGTGCCTGGGCTGTTCAGAGATTGTCTCCATGATGGATTCGCGTATGTGTACGTGAGCATAGAGATTGTCTCCGGAGCCGTGATGCTTCAGCGTGCCTGTGTATGGGAGCATAGAGATTGTCTCCATTATGGTTCAGCGTGTCTGTGTATGAGAGCATAGAGATTGTCTCCATTATGGTTCAGCGTGTGTGTGTTTGGGAGCATAGAGATTGTCTCCATTATGGTTCAGGGTGTGTGTGTGTGTATGGGAGCATAGAGATTGTCTCCATTATGGTTCAGCGTGTGTATACGCACGTCAACATACTACAGTTTCTACCTGTCTGCCGCAGCATGCCTGCGTGCCTGCTGCGAGATGAGCCCCGCTGCTTTCCGCGGGTATCCATCACGATATCTTGCTGTGTATCTACGGGAGTGGCGTACGTTTCATGGCACACGGGTGTGTGTGTGTCTTGAGAACTGCTCATTACAGCCAATCAATGTCCTGGGTGTATTCGCTGCTCCTGGAACAGAGTATTCCACTAGCCTTGGCCCTGTTCTGTGTGTTCCATATGATTGATGATCTAACGTTGTTGCATCATGTGATGCAAGTGCATGGTGATTGGTGGTGGTCTTGTTTTTCTCCTGCTCCGCTCTGATGTGTACTTGGTTTCAGTGTTGTTGCGTTACAACTGTATTTATTTTATCAATACAACTACGTCAAGTCTGCGTTTGATCTCTCTCTCTCTCTCTCTCTCTCTCTCTCTCTCTCTCTCTCTCTCTCTCTCTCTCTCTCTCTCTCTCTCTCTCTCTCTCTCTCTCTCTCTCTCTCTCTGTCTCTTTCTCTCTCTCTCTCTCTGTCTCTCTCTCTCTCTCTCTCTCTCTCTCTCTCTCTCTCTCTCTCTCTCTCTCTCTCTCTCTCTCTCTCTCTCTCTCTCTCTCGCACTATTATACTGCTGTGGCTTGCAGCAGTGCTTTGTGTCATATCGTGTTGAGATGTTCCCTATAACTCAGCATAGTTAACTCCTGGTCACAAGCATGCATTTTTTTGCAGGCCCATTTCTGCTCATGGCTATTATTTAGTTCCTAGTTGCTTCAACTAATTACTTATTGCTGTTTTTTTTGTGTATGGACTTGTGCTCTTTGCACTTCAAACCTGGATCTGAGTGATTGAGATGACCAGAGCTTGGCGCCCTGTAATAGCTAGAGGCCCTGCCGTGCTGTCGGGTGCCGACAAACTTATTGCCGAAGTACAAGCAGGCTAGAATCAGGCTAGAATCAGGCTAGAATCAGGCTAGAATTTCACCAACACAGCGTACCAACGTATACACGGTGACTCAACTGTGTATAGACCATAGTTCATAACAATAAGAACGGCCTATGTTACGGGGCTGGAGTTCTTCGGCACCCAGCAATCTGTAGTGGTTTCCAAATGTAATGATGCTACAGTAGTATAATTATTACACATTGCAAGTACATTGTACATAATAGAGAGGTTAAGTTACACGTTTTTTTTGCCCTTTTTCAAAACGCGGTGCAAATCTCACGTAACGTGTAATTTTTAGAGGTCAAGTTACACGTGCGACGTGACGTGAAATTTTGCCTGGCAGGATTCGGGTTTAGTTCGCACAAATATCAAATCTTCCAACAAACTCGATAAAATTCCGGAAACTCACACAAATTCGGTCGGAATAACCAAGCGACACTTCCAAAAACTCACGTCATGAACTTACGTGCGGGACAGTCAACTCACGTAAAACACGTCAAATTTTACGCGAGTTTTTCACTTTTTGACGTAAAAGTTCACGGACGTAAGACTTTTACGTGAAACTTAACCTCTCTAATAATTATCATCACACAAAATGTAGTACCTATTACAAGTACACGGTGTTGTGGATGAAGATGAACACAGCCATGTAACCCTGTCTGGCCTCTACTTTGAGCTGTGTTTGCATAATTAAATAGTTGTGATGATGTTGAATACCGTGTGATTTGGATTACTTCAAATAAAATCGTTCGAAGCAAACCGCTAATTGAACCCTCTAGCCCAGCTGATACCGGAGATTTTCTTCTTTAAGAAATGCGAAAGAAACCTGTGATCATCTGGATCACTGACCTTCAGTTCTGCTGAGAAAAAAACTGACTACATGTATACAGTGTACAGTGCTGCTCTATGAAATTCAGTCGCGTCGTCACTCAAGTTTGTGCCCTGCATCATTTCGCAGCCCAGTGTTCGCAGCTCTAGGACCGTGCAATGTCTGGCGCGTACTTGAGTGACAGACATGGCTGGTATTCATTTCAAGCAACACTGTACATGCAGGTCGTCACTGCTGACAACTGGCTATCGGTAGATCGAGAAAACAGCCGGGAAATGATTATTTAAAGGGGAAGTTAAGGCAAAAATTAAAATTTCACCAGTTGTAGTCTTCGGGGTGCTGAGTCGAATGGTCGTGGTCCGAGGAAGCTGAGACGCTCCCTTCCTACTTGAATCCCAATCGAACTCGCGCACTTCCACCGAAACTGGGTGACTGCGCCCTACTAGATGGGGATTTGTATGCAAAATGTCACTAAAAGCGCCATTTCGTTCTTATAAAAGCACGGATGACCGCGATTGGCCCATATGTTGTAGTCTTTTGGACGCTGAGTCGACTGGTTTTGGTCCGAAAAGGCTGCGATGCAGCGTTCCTCCTTTATTCCCAATCGAACAGGGTTGAACAAGCGGTCACGTGCTCCTGCGTACACCAGTCACCTGATCACCGTGCCTGCAGGGTACAACTTACTAGCCTGTTTGACCTTTTTTGGGTGCAGTCCTGTCACTCGAGTTGAACCTTGGTGTGAAAGTTGTCGCCTGCTGGCGTGGTGACCAGGTGATTTGGGAACCCAGGAGCACGTGACCGCTTCTTCAACCATGTTCGATTGGGAATAAAGGAGGAACGCTCCATCGCAGCCTTTTCGGACCAAAACCAGTCGACTCAGCGTCCAAAAGACTACAACATATGGGCCAATCGCGGTCATCCGTGCTTTTATAAGAACGAAATGGCGCTTTTAGTGACATTTTGCATACAAATCCCCATCTAGTAGGGCGCAGTGACCCAGTTTCGGTGGAAGTGCGCGAGTTCGATTGGGATTCAAGTAGGAAGGGAGCGTCTCAGCTTTCTCGGACCAAGACCATTCGACTCAGCACCCCGAAGACTACAAACTGGTGAAATTTTAATTTTTGCCTTAACTTCCCCTTTAAAGGCTGGCAGATTCCAGTGATGAGCTTTATAACTGATTATAAATAATAATAACAATGCTAGATAAATTGGCTTCAGTTGAGTCTCCAAATTTTGAAAAAAATATAATTATTATAATGGTAGTTGGCAGTGATTAGCGCTCCGTGAAGGAGAGAGTTCGAAGAGGCAACTGGCTGCAACCAGAGATGGCACATATTCAAAGTACATTATTTTCTGCATGAGAAAACCATGGATCTATCCTATAACAGCTTGCACATACCTAGCTAATTGTAGAGTGAATTTCCTAATTGCTGCACAACACAGCTCTAAATGTGAAATGCAGAAGTGCTTCAGCGTCATCTGTTAATGTGAAGTCCGTGACCATGCCACGTAGGACACATGCAACGTGCCTGCTACGTATAGTAAGTACACAAACCCAGGATCAGAACTCAGTGCCGGCGGAAACAGTTTGGGATTGGCCTGGCCATACATGGCCCTTCACGCACTCTTGCATGATATGGCGGGTGCACATGACCACTTCACATCTCGGTGACCAAACCGTTGGTCCAGCCAGAGCCTGACCAACCGGACCGGTTCCGCCGGACCTGATAACTAGTTGATCTTGGCCAGTGCTTCATACATACGCGGCAGTGCTAGCTCGACATGCTGCGGTGTCAGGAGCAGAGATGGCCGGAAGCGGATGGTGGCGTCTCCACAACCACCAGTATGTACTCCTGCAGAGAGGAACAGGTCACATTCAAATACTACTTGTAAGTCTAAAAAATTTCGGCCTCCCAGGGCTAAAACCCATTTCGGCGCATCAAATTTCCGGCCTCTACTGCTGCCGCCTGTATACACTGTCACCCTGAACCTTGCAAAACAAAAACAATTTTTTGGCCAAACATGACCAGGCCGAAAATAGCCGAAAATAAATATGCGCCGAATCTTTGTTGACCTACAGTAGCAGAAGCTTGCTGACCTGAGGGAAGCAGAGAGCATACTAGCACATGGTTGCATCATGATACAAATGACAGGGGCGTAGTAGCCAGAGTAGTGTGTGGCGTACCCGTGCCCCAGGTAATTCCTTCAATGTTGCCGCTAAACCGATGCTTCATTACCATGAGCCTCGAAGACCAGGCATGTAGAACACGACAGGGGCGTAGCAGCCGGTCCGGCCCGTCTGGCTTTGACCGGACCACTTTTTTTAACGCAATGCCAAAAGTGCCCAGAATGCAGGATTTCGCACCCTTTTAAATTTCTAAATATTCCAGGGGGAGACCCCCAGACTCCCCTCCGGCCGGACCACCTACAACGGCGGTGCAATGCGCCTGCATGAAGAACCAGGAACCACTTTTAGTGCAGTACGCGTTATGACAGTACATGCGGCTGATGATGAGACTTTAGGACATAATTATGTACTAAAGCATGTCCCACTCACCAAGCTTCCACAGCTCTGAAATGAACTTCTTCTGCACATCGGCACTGACACAGTCAATGGCGCAGAAAGTGCCTGCACCACGTGCTCGGCTCACCAGCGAGGGGAACCTCATCTACAGAATAAGAAAGCGATACAGAGATACTGCTTGGCGCAACAGTCATGCACGGCTTTGCCAATCAATGTGAACAGATCCTGCACAGTGTTTTCCTACCCTATTGTCTATGTATTCACGGATGCAAGTTCTGGCAGAAAGATACACACATAAAAGCCACTTGCCTGTCGGGGTGGGGGGGGGGGGGTGATCCCTCTTACTCTTAGGCCAAGGTAGGTCAGAACACAAATGAGATCAGCTTGTAAGGAGATCAGTATCTGCCTAGAAAATATCCTGCTAGCTTCAGACAAAACACCAAATCTCCCGTGTAGGACAACATAACACACAATACAATACAATACAAAAATGCCCATCCGGAGATGATGGCAGGTCCTGAAAGGACCGACAGTGTTTCAGTCACCCGGAACAGAACTTCGAGTGGCGAGTGAGGTCCTGGCGAATATCTCAGCCACATAATACACACACACACACACACACATACACGTTCACAAGCTCGCGTGAGAGCGAGCTCTTCAGGCTGATAAAACCGTACGCGAGTAGCAAACAAGTGAATGAACTGTAACACACCAAAGTGGAGTAACAGCTGTGTATATACGCACAGGAGTGACCTAAGATGTAGACAGTTCTAGACTCAAGGCACCTTTTCCCTTATAACCACCCAGAAGGAGGAGGAGATGGAGGATAATAGAATTGTGCACCACAAGCAAGGTGACAGTGCTCAAGCTGAGAAATGATGGTATCATCAGAATAGTGCCCCCCCCCCCCACACCCTCCATAAACTTGGCTGGTTCCTTGGCATGGTTGGTTTGTATCATTTAAGTCGATGTTTCTTTTGAACAGCCTTTCTACAGCGTTGGTAAAGAACTCTCACCTGTAGTTCCTGGAGGCCTGCCATCAGTACATCACCCGTTTCTCTAGCCTTCTCTACAAGGCCGTCACGCTTGACAACGTGAAGCATTTCCCTGGCAATGACCATGCGCGCCACGTCACCGAACCACGTGTTCAGAACACGACTTCCCTAGTGGACGGCGTTATTGCAAATCAGACGAGAAACACAATTCAAGTGGTACGGCAGTTGATGGTGGAAGCCATGCTGGATAGAAGTATGGATGGTCGTGACCTGCGACCAGGCGCCATTAGAATGACTTTACATGCACAGCAAACAAACTACATTAAAACCTTGTTTAAGCGACCACCCAACGGTGCAAGCAAAAGCGGTCGTTAAAGCCAGGTGGTCTTTAGAACCAGGTCCCACAGTGTGTGTGTAGAACTGTCGGTGCATGGAAAAACGGTCGTTAAGAGCAGGTGGTCGCTAAACCCACAGGTCGCTTACACCAGTTGTTACTGTACATTGTGTAGAGTGAAGTTAACTTACTTGAATGACCAGAATGAGGTTCATCAGATCTAGAGCCGAGATAAAGGCTCCTGCACTGCCTCCAATGACTAGCTGTGAAGGCAGTGTGAACTAATGCTCTAACTGTTATAAACTGCATCACTGTGCACGGTAGTCAGAGAAGGAGATTATAACTACAAAGTACATGTACGGCCAACTCACAATGGCTGGTTTGAACTCGCTCCGCAGATAGTAGCCGGCGACTTGCATCTTCTTGGCAAACGTCATAAAGTCTGGAGCATCGTCCAGATCCCATCTCTCATGTGCCCTGTTAGTGTGCACATGCAGTATGACAAGAGATCAAACACAGTTTTGCGTAAGGAAAGCCCGGCAATGCTTTCTTCAATACTTGGAGGCTCTGCCACAGCCAATTGGTTATCTCTGTAACATCTTTACCATCACAGTCTAAGTTCATTGCAATTGCAATAAATTAATCTCCAAATGTTTCTCTTTGAGGCTTCGTCGGGAAGTATATAGCCAACGGGGTAACTTAAATTTGATTGAATAATTGTACACTTCCTGTGAGAATCAGTCCGACTGAGTTTCCGCATCCTCAAGAACGCCACCATCCTCAAAGATGAAGGTGCAGATGCGGCCCCTAAATCGGTGGTATGGGATTGAGTCAAACCCACCATAACACTGGGCACCACTGATTTCCGAGGAGGCTGTTTGACACAGCTCGACACCTGCACTAGTGGTACATACAGTCCCTTTGTACCGTCGCTTGCATAGTTATGGACAGTAACATCCAATCTATAGACAATATATAGGGCATTCAGTGACACCACCGTTTGAATTCGAATTTAGTGACAATTTACCATAACGGGCTGTGCCAGCTTTTGCTCATGTACATGTGAAGACGAGCTAATTCAACCTTGCACAAAATCTCCTTGCAACACACATCAATCTAGCCAGTGTGGTCTTGAATCATCTCGCTATAATACCAAGACTTCCTGGGAGCACAACTGGATATGCGGTATGACTGACATGGAAACTAGCGTCAGGTAGTCCCAGTGCACATTATAGTATATGCATAGTAGTACACATTTAAAAGTACATGTACTATAGCGGACATGGAAATCCAGTCGATTGACCGGTAGTCATAGCCCAAATTTGCTAGCAATTCTTTGAGCAAAATTGTCGTGACTCGCGACATCATAAAGATCCCGACTCAACGGACATGAAAGACATTTACGTTTCTTGATTTGGAAAGTTTGTTTCTTTGTTTCTTTCTCAAACAAGATCTAATTTCAACGGAAAAAAGGCAGCTGCATCCACAGGCAGCTGCGCACAAAGAACATGCATAAAAATGGCGACCACGACCTTCAGTTACGTGGCATGGTAACAAAAGGAACTAGTGCAGCGACAAACAGAAATGGAGAAGAAGTGAACAGCAAGGAGAGCGAATCGCTAAAATGCACTAGCCTACTGTCTGTACAGTCACATGTAGTTAGTGAACACGCAGTCACGTGGTCACGTACACATAACACGTCATACCAAATACGTCATCATGGTCATGCATAACAAGAAAAGGAAAGGAAAGGAAAGTCACGCGTGAGCAAAACAAATCAAGAGCGCGAAAATACTCACGGGACGAAAACATAACGAAGAATTTGTTTGTGAACAAAATGCAAAGAATAGAGAAACGAGGGATTGCTTCGAAGCTACTTCGAAGTAGAATGAAATCAATCACTAGAAAGGACGATGGGGAACTAGACTTCGGCTAACCCAAGCGTGGAATCAGCCACAACGTAAGCAAGCAAGAGAGTACAAAATCATCGTCATGTAATGCAAATATAAATTGGTTATTCCGAATTCATGTACATGTATTTCATCGCGACGTTCGCGACACTCCCCACAAGAGAGAAGAAGAGCGATTGCAATTGCAGTAGTGTAGACAAAGTGTAAATGAGTGTGTGGTGATTGCTTAGTGTTCAACAAGAGAGTGTACTGTGTATAAATACATTCATGCAGACTATTTACAGAGTTCACAGAGTTATACTGCACCTTGACTTATTAGGTTCTTCAGGTTAGCACGGGAACCAGCGGCTGCTCGGCGTGTTGGTCGAGCTGGTTGTTGCTGTGTAGGTTGTGCAGGCTGTACAGGCTGTGCAGGTTGTGCGAGCGGCGGGTCATCGTGCGCTGCATCGTGATTCTCCGCTTGCACAATTGGGTACAACAGACATAGTGGACGTTGGATCTGCCGCTTGGATGGCAGAACAACTGTTGCAGATCTGATTTCACCATCATTACTGTTGTGCAGTTTGTCAATTCGTCCAATTAACCAAGAGCCGCGTGGCATCTTTTCTTCCTTGACTAGGACAACAGTATCCACAGTAGGTGGATCATGTGCTTGTAGTCTTCCATGCGGAAGTGCAGTCTGACCACGTTCACGTAGCGTGGGTAGATACGAATACTGCCATTCTGACCAAAAAGTCTGTAGTAGGCGTTGACCATCCGTCCAGGCAGTTAGCAATGTGTTAGCCAAAGAAGTGTCAGGCTCAAACGTCGGGTCATTACCAAAGTCTCCCTCCATACCAGGAGTGCCCAACTTCGGGTTTAAAGACAAGAAATGGTTGGGAGTAAGAACATTACCAAAATCCAATTCGTTTCCAACGTAGACCAGTGGACGTGCATTAATTATCGCCTCCGCCTCCATTAGAAACGTATTGAGCATATCACGGTTTGGAATTGAAGTGCCCACTGTCTTCCGTAGGACCCTTTTCACTGATTGTACTAAGCGCTCGTATGCGCCGCCCATCCATGGAGACAGCTGTACTATGAATTTCCATTGTATTCCATTCGTAGCACAGTACGAAGTAAAGTCATCGGTGTGGTTCACGTCATTCCAAACTTCACCAATGACGTTCGAGGCAGTGTGAAATTGTTTTGCATTATCTGACAAAACTTCAATCGGCGTACCTCTACGGGCAATAAATCTACGAAAGCCCAGTAGAAATGAGGCTGTTGTCATGTCTTCCATTAGCTCGAGGTGGATTGCGCGGGTAGTCAAACATGTGAACAGGCAAACCCATACCTTGCATTTCTCGCTTTCCTTGGTCATTGTCATTGGGCCGAAGTAATCGATACCAGTGTACGAGAATGGTATGCACCTGTTAACACGCTTGCTCGGCAGTGGAGCAAAATCCGGCATTGGGTATGGTTTCGCTTCCCATTTCTTGCAGTGGTAGCAGCTGTGCAATATTGTCTGCACGGTGGCCCGCCCACGAGTTATCCAGAAACGCTTACGCACCTCCATGAGCGTCTGGCTAGTACCGGAATGCCGAACGCGAGCGTGGCACAGTTGCACGATTAGCCTCGTGGCAGGATGTTTCCGTGGCAGCAGTATTGGACCAGATTCTGGAAACCTAGCATTCTTCATGCGCCCTGCGCACCGAATTAGGCCGTTGGTATCGATAAGAAGACCGAGTTTGGTAACGAGTTCCATTTTTTGTTTTTTCTGAATTGCATTTTTAATTTCACCAAATTCTTGACCTTGGATAACTCGTACACATTCCATTTCAGCTTCCTTGATATTGGTTGTGGTTAGTTGTGTTTGTTGTTTGCATTTGCCTTGCAGCTTCTGTACTGCCAGTTTCACGTAAGCCATTACGCGTACCGCTTTCGACCAACTGGAATACCTTTCGATAGAGATGAAAGGACCCTCCCCAGAGCAAGAATTGATTGCGACAGATACCTCAGTGGGTGGTTCTGAGGCCATTGCTGCAGCTGTGGCAAGTGAAGGGGATGGAAGTTCACCGAGTGAGCTGGTATCACCGCGTAGCCATTCAGGACCTTCCCACCAGAGTTTGCTGTCGTGCAATGCAGCAGCTGTTGCACCACGTGAGGGTAGGTCGGCAGGATTGCAATCTGTACTGACGTACTTGAACGCAATTGTCGGATTCGACCGAATTTCCATTAGTCGCCGCTGGACAAACACAGATTGCTGGTTCGTGCCATTGATCCAGTGTAGAACACAAGTTGAATCGGACCACAGAACAGTGCGGTGGAGATCAAATGGCAGTGTGTTCTGGAGGAATTTGATAAGCCGAGAACCGATTAGCGCTGCCATCAACTCCAAACGAGGAATTGTCATTTGTTTGAGTGGAGCTACCTTCGTCTTGCTGACGAGCAGGACTGTGGCCACAGCTGTGGCGCTTTCTTCACGGAGATAGGCAACCGTACCGTACGATTTTTCGGATGCGTCGCAGAACACATGAAGTTCGCGGCGAGTGACAGATGCTGGGTCAAGACCAGTGAAACGGTGGAGCTTGAACGTGTCTGCTTTGTCCAGGTCTTGGGCAATAGCCTGCCAATCATCTGCAATGCTGTTGGGAACCGGATCATCCCAGTCGAGCTTTGCTTTCCAGATGTCCTGGATCAGAAGTTTGGCTCGAACAAACAGAGGTGACAGGTAGCCAACGGGATCGTAAAAGCGAGCAGCAGCGGAGATGATGCTGCGCTTGGTGTTGGCGTGTTTGTGAGCCACATTAGGAGAAATGACATTGAGAGTGTCCTCTTTCGTATCCCAAGCCAGGCCGAGGCATTTCACATTGTTGGATGTGGCCTTGTCGAAGTCTGGCAGGGTGTGGTTGAATTCATCACTGTTAGATGACCATTCACGGAGATTCATAGCGGCGTCGTTGAATAGGCTCTTTGCAGAATCATAGAGAGTACTGGCTTCGTCAGCCGTGTTGCGCCCAGTTATCACATTGTCCACATAGGTGGAGTCGCGGATTTCAGAACCGAGCGTGCTGTTGCTGTTGTCGAGATGGTGATGAATGGTGGCAGACAGCAAGAACGGGCTGGAAATAACACCAAACGGGATTCGACAGAAACGATATGTCACCAGGTTTGCTGGTGAGACTGGTTGAGAAATGTCCTTGAGCCACAGAAAGCGGGTGTAGTCCCGGTCTGGTTCGTCGAGGCCCACTTGGAGGAATGCCTTCTCAATATCGCTGGTGATCCCAACAGGGAACAGGCGAAAACGGACCAGTATGCCACCCAGGTCAGGAAGCAAGCTGGGGCCGCTGTGAAGGCAGTCATTGAGGCTGTTTCCATCCTTGTTGGTTTTTGCTGACGCATCGTAGACGATGCGGAGTTTGGTTGTTGTGCTGGCCTGACGCTGGACGCAGTGGTGTGGCAAATAGTGGACCGGCCCAGTGGGCACGGCATTCGGGACTTCCTCGATGATACCACTTGCATGTTGGTCTCTGATTGTCTGGTCGTAGTGTCGTAGGATGTCTGGCTGTGTAGAAAGCCGCTTGATTAGGGAGACGAGTCGACCTCTGGCCAGCTCATAGTTCACTTGCGGAGCTTTTTCCTTCCACGGCCAGTTGACTGTGTAGCGACCGTTTTCTTTGCGTATTGTGGCGTTGAAGTGTTCTCTCACCATGTCGTTGTCTGTTGTTTCTGGGTTGTCATTAATACCCAGACTCTCAAGGCTCCACAGATCTTCGAGTGCAGGTAAGGTGTCATCCGCTATGGAATCCGCCGACAGATGCATGACGGTGTCTGGGGGCGTATCACCAGACACTTTGCCAGACGGAATAAACCCTAACTTGGACTCGACCAGCACTAGGTCAGCGGTAACGGATATGACCTGAGGGCCAATGAGGTGATGGTAATGATCACTTCCAATTAGTACGTCGACAACCACGCTCTCTGTTGCAAGGGGCGTGGGTTCAGCAAGATTTACAGACTGCAGAACCGGATATTTGGTGTAATCGAGTGGAAAGCGTTGGATGGGACATGTTATGTTGTCGACTACGTTGGCTATGACCGTAACGGTGGAGCCATCATCACACCCGACAGAGAGTTGCACACGTGGCAGACAGACAACCTTGCGGGTACTGTCGCCAAAGCCAGCCATGGCGATGGTGTCTGAACCATTGGCATCAAGTTGAAGTGCCTGTTGTGCTTCCTGTGTAATAAAAGACCGTGACGACCCAGTGTCAAACATGAGCCGCGCGGGCTGGGTAATTGTGGCGCCGCCAATTGTGGCTACTGCTGTTTGCAGGATGACTGCATCCTGCTGTTGGCTGGGAGAGCTAGGAGCTGTGACACATGTTGTGTTGGCTTTGATTGGTGGTTTTGATTGTTGTTGTTGTTGGTGGCCAGTTCCGAATTTGGAAGGGCAGAGACTGCGGTGGTGTGTCTTCTTGTGGCAATGTGCACAAGCCCAGGGGTTCGGACAAGCCGGAGCCATATGGCTGTCCCGGAAACAAATGAAGCACCGACCCTGGATTTGCTGGCGTCTGGTCTCTAAAGTTCTGTACCGGTCACATTCATCTGTGTAATGGGCTTCCTTGCAAAAGAAGCATTTTGCGCGTTGTGGTTTCTTGACCGAAACTGCCAACGTCTGGACTGGCCGCATGTCGCCAGGGCTGGCATTCGTGGATCGCGGTACAGTCATGCTTGACTGTGCAGAACCGACTGATGTTGGTCGAGCTGCTGCTTCCTTTGCCATGATATAGTCATGTAAATGTTTGCGGAGGCGGTCGGCGGACCACGTCTCCTCACCTTTAGCTAATTCCAGTTGAAACATGGCAGGACTCGGCAGCTTTGACGTGATCAGAGACACAAAAATCCCTTGGTCACAGTCTTCGCCAATAGCACTGAGCGCCCGGATGTGTTTTTCAACTGTGTCGTACAACTGGCGCAGTGATGTGGCCGTGTCATAGGCCGGTGGCAGATCGACCAGGGCTGAATAGTGGGCATTCAGCACCATTTGCTGCCTGCCGAACCGTTCTTTGAGTAATTCGACAGCAATTGGGTAGTGGTCGTTGTCGAGGACGATCCCATCAAGGACGTTGCGTGCCGTGCCCGACAAACATGTTTTTAGATACGCCAGTTTCTCTGCGTGGGATAAAGCCGGGTTCTCGTGTACCGTGGATTGGTCCCGGGTTTCGGCACCAAATTTTCATGTCGTGACTCGCGACATCATAAAGATCCCGACTCAACGGACATGAAAGACATTTACGTTTCTTGATTTGGAAAGTTTGTTTCTTTGTTTCTTTCTCAAACAAGATCTAATTTCAACGGAAAAAAGGCAGCTGCATCCACAGGCAGCTGCGCACAAAGAACATGCATAAAAATGGCGACCACGACCTTCAGTTACGTGGCATGGTAACAAAAGGAACTAGTGCAGCGACAAACAGAAATGGAGAAGAAGTGAACAGCAAGGAGAGCGAATCGCTAAAATGCACTAGCCTACTGTCTGTACAGTCACATGTAGTTAGTGAACACGCAGTCACGTGGTCACGTACACATAACACGTCATACCAAATACGTCATCATGGTCATGCATAACAAGAAAAGGAAAGGAAAGGAAAGTCACGCGTGAGCAAAACAAATCAAGAGCGCGAAAATACTCACGGGACGAAAACATAACGAAGAATTTGTTTGTGAACAAAATGCAAAGAATAGAGAAACGAGGGATTGCTTCGAAGCTACTTCGAAGTAGAATGAAATCAATCACTAGAAAGGACGATGGGGAACTAGACTTCGGCTAACCCAAGCGTGGAATCAGCCACAACGTAAGCAAGCAAGAGAGTACAAAATCATCGTCATGTAATGCAAATATAAATTGGTTATTCCGAATTCATGTACATGTATTTCATCGCGACGTTCGCGACAAAAATATCGGATGCGCAAGTTTCCGGCAAGTTTTGAGCAAAATATCGAGTTTTGGTGGGCTTTTCGAAAAATCCAAAGCTTCTTAGGGACTTCCTCAACGCAATCAGTCACCAAGGTTGAAAACAAACACAAAAGTTGTAGAAAACAGACTCATGGCTACATTTCATTGGAAATTTGAGCAGCAGCAGGAGCTCAATCAAAAATATCGTCGCCATCAGAGACAATTATCGTTGAGTTTCCCCTAAAACTCATTTCATCTCGAGCAAAACCAAAGCAAAATACCGTCGGAGAAAGGAAACGCCAAGCAGAATATCGAAAATTTTGTGGCAAAATTGTGCGGCAAAATATCGATGTAGGCCGAGAAAATTTGGGCCATGACTATTGACCGGGGCCGGCGCCCTCAGCGCGCACAGAGCGCTGCGTGCAGTGCACATGCTGATCCGATGCGACCCGCACGCTGCAGCGCGTAAATGCATGTGTGTACCACTTATCCACGGCTGCATGGCCAGCGCCCTGGGGCCGCTAGACGTGCGACCGGACTTCCATGTCCACGACAGTACATGTGCACATAATAGCACGTACCACATAGCGCCGGTAGTTCCCACACCAGTCTGAACTTCGTCTACAATGAACGCTGCTCCACTCTACACATTATTGTTTAGAAAGGCGCGCACACACGCACACATCAAAACACGAATATATGTGGTTGATGTGTGTGCGTGTGCAGAAGTGTGCGTGTTATTGTAATGTGTGATTATGACAAACAAGACCAGGAGGACAGATAGAGGACAAAATTAATAAGGTCTTGCATGGACCTTTGCTAGTGTTGCGGAACTGATCATGGCGTTACAAGGTATTTTAGGGTGCGCAAATACGTTAACGGGTGTATGCATATTATAGCATGTGCATGCGTGTGTGGCCTCCCATATTTTGCTGACAATTGCTTTTGTATACAGTATTTATCCACAAGCTGTTACCACTGTCTACTCTCACTCTTGCTGAAAAACAGGGCCTGTGTTAAAGCATACATAGCATTCACTTGGAGGCATGTAAACATAAGCTATGTGTATTCACAGTATTCACTTCAAAGCTTACAAACACAAGCCACGTGCATGGACACAGTATTCACTTCAAAGCTTACAAACACAAGTCACGTGCATGCCTGGTCAGCATGCAGTTGAAGGCTTGCAGGCACACGCTGTGTACCACGCTTACCTCCTTGGCTATCTTGCGCACTTCTCTGAAGAATTCCGCAGAGGCATGATTGTCTCCTGGCACACGCAGCATAGCATGTACATATCCAAACACAGACGCAGGTATTCACGGTGAAGAAATCCAGTATACTCATGAATACCTGCAAGCAGAGAGCTAGCTTTCACATGACAAATAATATTCTGAATCTTGAGAAAAGTCAAGGGCTCATTTCCCTCAGCTTACCTGCAACGTACATGCGTGCACATTTCCTTGCAACGTACATGCGTGCACATTTCCTCGCATACGTGTATCCAAAGCACCTCTCCCCCTCCCTAAACACACCCACAATCACACAACCATGTGAAAAACACCACCACAACCCACACATACTTACACACACGCACACACACACACACACGGTGCTGGACACACTGTGCTCCAGTATACAAAAGCAGCAGCTACCCACCACCCTCAGCCTGTATAGGCTCTGTTATGATGCCAGCCACTGGATGACCCCTCTCATGCCATTCTGCAACAATTCTCCTCAACTGCAGATACACACAACATTAAAGAAAATCCAGTCAACTTTGCTTATAACGACACTCGGCGGGGCATCAAACAAGTGTCCCTATTCGCGAAGTGTCGTTATACCCGAAGTCCCATAGTATGTATTACAGTTGGAAGGGACTTTGCTCTGGGCATGGAAATGCTGTCGTTATTCGCGAATTGTCGTTATATCCGCAGTCGTTATTAGCGAGGTTGACTGTATATCTTCCAGCTGAATATTCGAAGTGTCTGAGTCCCATGGGAGAGCAGCAGCATTGCAAGCATATTGTGAATTACAACATAATCAGGAGAGGCTGTGGAAAGAAAAACAGCGATAAAGGAAAAAACAATCCTATCTTCATTTGTATCCATGCGTACACAGCCATGTTCACTGTACCTCTTTCAAGCACTGTACCTCTTTCAAGCACTGTACCTCTTTCAAGCACCGTTGCTCTTCCGCGCGATTCTCTTTCACAAACTTGTCGAGGGGATATTCCAGTTTCGGGAACGGAGCAACGGGCCAGTGGAACGCTGGTATGTCCACTTTGTGTATAGCTTTGGAACGTGATGCAGAGAGAGCACCTGTATACAACAAACCATGGACGTCGCAGCAAAGTGAAATACACCATGTACTGAAGAAAAAAAGGTACCTGCTGAATATTATCGCAGGCCTGTCGTTACTGAAATGCAGCATCACCAGCCAGGCTCATAGAGGTATTGCTAATAACATCCATGCTGCGTAATGAAAAAGTTCTAATGAACAACCTTGGCAAAAAGGCAGAGCGTTTCCCTTAGCCTTCGTCTAATACGTGCAGCGTGCACTCAATAGCTTCACTTGGCCAAGGTTCACCGAATGTACGTGTTGTAAAATGATGTGTTGTTTTCCTGTGTGATGACATTCCCCAAACTGTCTTCGTCTAGTCGCGTGCATGTGTGATATGAGCATGCACGATTTCGTAGTCGAGAGTCCTTTTGTCAGTCTTGTTGTTCGTCTCATGGGAGTCAGCTGTCTCTGTTTTCCCGTGATGTCTTAGTTCATTATAATAATGTAACAAGCAAGTACTTGTCCTTTGTGTCCTGCATCCCGGGGAACGGAATGGCTGTGATTCCGTTACATACACACTTGTCAAGCACACCCTGCCATACACGTTCACTTCGCCAACACAACACCACTACCACATGCCCTGCTCACCCATAGTGCGTCCGTGAAATCCACTCTCAAACGACAAGATGCACGCGTCAGTGGCACCCGGGGGCTGTAGTTGCAGACAGCAAAGAACAGGATAATTATCAGTTTGACTAGGATATGCATGATATGCATGATATTCATGATATGCATGAGCACGAGTACATCACCTTCTACTCCGTGACTACAATACTGTAGGACAGGACCGGCGGCAGCAGTTTTGGATTGGTCTGGCCATACCCTGGCCTGTCATAGTTTGTGTATGATATGGTGGGTAGGCAGGACCTCCTCAGCATTCCCATGCATGTTGGTGGCCAAAACGTTGGTCCGGCCATGGCCTGACCAACCGGACCGGTTCCGCCGAGCCTGTAGGACCTTGATATAACATACCCTGGTGGGAAATTGGAATACAAGTAGCACCTGGTCTACTTTGTGGGCAGTGTTGGAGTCACCAGCCTCGAAGCTTGCACACCATATGCCTACAGGGTAGAGGTGGATTGTAGAGTCGGTCACAGCTCAACTCCCAACTCACCTCCTCCAAACTCCATGCTAGCCTCCCACCTCTTGACAGTCACAGGACAGTAGATTTACTCGAGAAACAGCTAAAAGGGCATGTTTCCTAGCGCTATCTCTTCACTAAACCATTTACACAGTACAAATCCTATGAAGGAAGTATGTTTAGGTACCCGACCCCATGGTAACATTACACATTTGCAGGCCAACTTTCAAAAATCGATGTCATCGCAGTTGACTTGTTTACACTGAATTGGCCGGGTGTACATGTATGTCTGACCTTTACGACTTTAACTGCACATTTCTCCTGCTATTCCTCAACCGTCAAAGGGTAATGGAGGTGGGGGCAAAACCAAACTACGCAACCCCATGCCTAGTCTCACTCACACCATCATACACTTTCTTTTCACTCACACCATCATACACTTTCTTTTCACTCACACCATCATACACTTTCTTTTCACTCACACCATCATACACTTTCTTTTCACTCACACCATCATACACTTTCTTTTCACTCACATCACATCATCACACTGATCTACATGCACCCATCCACTTTCAAAAAACCATACACGTGTCGGGTTCTAACTACTAAAGGAGGTAGGGGAACGGCGCTGCCTCCTCCCTCCCCTCTCCCCTGCCCCTAGCCCTTTCCCAAAGGTGCTCGCCCTTTTTTCGCCCTTTTGGCCCTTTTTGGAAAAGCCCGTTTCTTTCGTCCCTTATTGCGTTTTTGGTGAATATCGCCCTTTTCGAGCTTTTTTAGCTGAAAAAGTGCTAAGATCTGTTTGCTCATGCATGCGATCACAGTTTCCGGGTGCTCAATGGGCCTTGGCACGCTGCTTTTTTGGGGGGCAACAAGTTGGTGACGCAAATACATACATGTATGTACAATGCTGTAAAAAGTGGGTTTTTTGAACTTTACTTCCTGTTTTGCCTTTCGTGGACCCATAAATGGAAGAGTGCGTATTCATTTCTCAGCTTGGATTCGTATCTGTCACTATCTGAACATGTATCATGGCTATGCTTCACTGAAAAAAAAGAGCACTTTTTGCCTGTTTTCACTGAAAAAAGAGCAGTTTTCAGCATATTTTGAGGGACGCGAAAAGCACTAAGTGCGAATTAAAAGAGCACCTTGGGCAGGGGCGTCGGAAGCAGTTTAACATTGGTGCGGCGAAAGTGTGAGAGGGGGGGGGGGGGTGCGGGGGTCCTCCCCCGGGGATTTTTTTGAAAATTGGGCCTAAAAGGCCATATTTTAATGCTACAGAATAATATGAGAAATAAGAATATGCATGCTGATGACACACCGCATTGTCGATGTAAAACATGGTACCTGTACAAGTGTCGACAAGCCATCAACAAGGTTGAAAATGTAAAAAAAAAAAAAATGTGAAGAAATTGTGTAGAGAAAGAAAGGGATTCAAACAAGTTTTCGTACAACACTCATCAGGAATCGTCGTTGTACTAAAGGACACTGAAACAAAAAAAAAAAACTCCAACATTATTGGTGCGGCTTTGGCCACACCTGCCGCACCGGTTCCGACGCCCCTGTTGGGGAAAGGGCTACCTGCCCCCCCCCCAATCTCATGATGCTCCCTGTGGAGAGTGCCTATTGGTACTCATTTTTCTTATTTCTGTGTTTTAACTGACCACAATATATCTTTTCTTTTTTCTCCTTTATTTCGTTTTTTCTTTCTTTCTTTTTTCTTTTTCTTTTGCTGAGAGCTTTCTTTTCCCATATTTTCTTTTCATCTGTGTCTCATTTCCAAGGTTTCCGATGCCTGGGTTACTTGGGCCTCATTCGCTTCCTTGTCATTGGACATGTTCAGTCCGTTCAGTTTGCGAAATCAAATAGACACAACCAACCAAACCAAACTGTCCGCAAAACCCCAACTATTCGGCCATCAACCCACGTGTACTGCCGTGGAGGTCATGTGTATCCGCCATATCTTACACAAAGTATGAAGGGCTATGGTATGGCAGGATCAATAAATAACTGCTTCCTCCAGTCCCGGGAAGCCATCATGATAAGACATTCACCAGACTTACTAGGTTTTGCATGCAGGATACCTCCTCTTCCATCGTGAAGGCTGAGTCACCACGCTCCTTAGCCTGCAACAAGGGCAAAGGTCAGAGCACAAGAGCACGTTCAGATCAGGACTTCCAAAACCTGGAGCCAGTTGGTAAGCGATGATAAACCGGCAATTTATCCCATTAAAAATATAATGGTCGGAAGGAGAATTACCAGACTCTTCCTCGTGAATCCAGAACTCATCACCAATGAATATATTTTGAAACAGACTGGCCGAAATATGTTAAAAAATAAAAATTCATTCACATGCATCAGTTTTCTCCCAGTAGAGTGGAGTTTATTCCTACCATACATTCTGTACGTCCCTGGATGCAAGTTTTGGACATTTGGACACATATAGACGAACGCAAGCTGAACACACACTTGCAGGGCTGCCACTTGCTCCGATTTTTCGGAAATCGTCCGTTATCACCCACACGCACATCAAGCAAGTGGAAGTTGGGGTTGCCGAGCTGCTGCGGCTGGATCATATCAAGTGTTTTGTAACAGAATTTGTAATCAGCGAATTGTTTGCAACAATGCATTTATACCCGGCGGCCCCGCAAAGCGGGATTGTAGAAAATTCTGTTACAATGCTGGTAGATGGCAGGCAGTGCAAGAGATTAAGGCCAATGATCCTAACTAATGCTGCTGTGCCCTTGTGGGGCACGGCTGTGCGCAGGTAGTCAAATGACTGCTGGTCAAATGACTGCTGGGACCGGACGGTCCTGCTGTATGCTGGGGCCAATTGGCCCGGCTGCTGGACACAATGTGTCTATGCTGGGACCATGTGGTCCTAACTAATGCTGCTGTGCCCATGTGGGGCACGGCTGTGCGCAGGTAGTCAAATGACTGCTGGGACCGGACGGTCCTGCTGTATGCTGGGGCCAATTGGCCCGGCTGCTGGACACAATGTGTCTATGCTGGGACCAGCTGGTCCTGCTGGGACCATGTGGTCCTGCTGCTGGGCAGCGCGTGCCGCCAGTGCTTGAAAGCTCATGCAGAGAATTGTTCCAAAATGCATTCAGCTGAGGGGCTTTGCTTGCTTCCCCCCTTTCTGGAGGCGCTAGAACTTAGAAGTGGGTTGTGGTGGGCGGGAGAAAATTCGCACAACACTGCTGATATCGCAAGCCAAGGTGCTCAAACAAATTTGTTTGCATAGAAAGGTCTCGCTGCTGTTCTCTGCCAGCAAGGCTGCGAGTCCCACGCTTGCGCATGTGCCATTTCCCCACGCTTGCGCATGTGCCATTTTCCCACGCTTGGGGACGATGTACGATGACAGCCGGCGTTGCGGACTGCCTGCGAGGCCCTGGCCGCGAGTGCTTCTGTGGCATGATAACTTTGGTTTGCCCGTTGCAAACCTACATATTTTTGATCGCTTGTCCGACAAACCGACCGATTTTGTTCCCAAAGAGGAAAAACCGATTTTTTTATTTTGAGCGCTTTTTAGTCCAGTTGGCCATTAACTCGGCGCTTCCAGGTCGCGTTTGGCCGGTCTGCATAATTGACATGGTTGTATTGCGTGTGCTGGACAGTTAAAATGTGTTCTGAGGCCCCAACAGCAAGCCTTTTTCCTAAACAATTTCATCGTGGGGGCCATGCCCCCTGCACCCCCGCCGGGGGACACCCCCGGACCCCGGCCAGATTTTTATCCCTCCAAGGGTGGCAGCCCTGCACTTGTCCAATTGGGGTATGATCCTTCAGGAGTAAATTGCTCCTTGCTGCAACTCAGATCATCCCGTGAGCATGTCAGACTCGGAAGTGGGCCAGGATTTACCCTGTGGAGTAGTGCAGCCACTTTTCTCTTGCTAACAATGCATTACCCCCCCCCCCCCCCTGTGAGTCTCCCCATTCCTCTGACGACTTTCGTAATCCATCACATCGGCAAACAGCCGTTGGCACTTGTACAGGCCCGGAGAAACCAGTCCAGTTGGTCAGGCCATGACCGGACTAACTGCTTGCTAACAATGCATTATCTCCCCTGTGAGTCTCCTCATTCCTCTGACGACTTTCGTAATCCATCACATCGGCAAACAGCCGTCGGCACTTGTACAGGCCCGGCGAAACCAGTCCAGTTGGTCAGGCCATGACCGGACTAACTGCTTGGCCAGCAATGCCTCTTCACTGCCGAACAGGTCATGTGTATGAGGATACCCGCCATGTCATACACAAAGTATGACAGACTAGGCTAAGGGTATGGTCGGACCAATCCAAAAACTGCCTCTGCCGGTCCTGTTGTAGTCGATATGCATTGCCTGGGTGGTCTGTCCCGCACTGATGCAGAGCCCGGGTTTCTTAGAACTCCTGTCAGTCGTAGAACCAGTAGCCTCACCTTGTACCACATGAACACACACTTGAGTGCATTCTCCACAGCGCAGGATCCACACATCATTGGCGACACGTGTTCCATGCCTTGCGGTGCAACCTGCACACGCGGAGAACCAGTAGGATCTAACCATCATAATGAAGTAGAATTCACTCGATCACAAACATCAAGATTTGAGCTTTACGCATGGATAAGTTGACATCATGGTTTAGGGCTTGTAGTACACGGACTTTCTCCTACACAAATCACTATGTATTACAAGTACTATGTATTGAACTATCCATTGCTGGCACCATCAGATCCCTTGCTTTCATTTAAACATCGCTAGCTAGCGCTCAGAGCTGTAACTGGCAATCTCGTACCGTATATAGATCCGTCTGTCAGTTCCCCAGCTCAGTTGTTGAAGAGTCTTTGCTTCCGTTGTTTCTGTAGTCTTACCTTCACTTGAGTTTTTCAATATACTATAAGTTCTGTGCTACCTACGTTTGTCTTTTCGTGCAATATTGTTCCCTGAGATTACTACTTGTGTCGTGAGTCGGAGATACTGAACCAGGTTTGCCTTGTCACTCGGCCGCGTACTACAGGGCTTCTGCAGGAGAAAAGCACAATTTACATGTATATGCAGGCCGCATGTGTGTGTCTGGCTGCCCGGGTGTTATGCGTGCCAAGAAACTGTTGCTTTCTATTCTGCCAGGGATGCTGGACAGGCTATCATCATAACGGTATTGACCGTACCACATTTTTCCCCAGGCACCCTGTGAAATAGAATTATTTCATCGAAAAGGTTTCAACAATACTCACGGAGGGCCAGTGTACAGTTAGCTTAAGGAGCACTTTGAGCGGTTGATTGTACCAACCTGAGATACCTTGGCAACCTGAGATACCTTGGCAACCTGAGATACCTTGGCAACCTGAGATACCTTGGCAAGTGCCCCCGGTCTGAACTATGTCAATCTCCCTGATGAGCGCAGTCATGGCTGCCTACAACTGTTGACGCAAAGAGTCAACTCTGGACATTCACACTGTCCTTGAACTTGCATGCTGCCATTGCTGTATGCACCAATCAGCGTGCTTACCGACATCAGTGTGTCCTGCACCTGGTCAGCATAGCCCACTGGAGGGTGGCGACTGAGGGCTGTGCGATTGGCAAGATTCAACTGCAAAGAGACAACATGAGTAACATCACTAACATGTCTTATGTCGCATAAGATTTACCCATACTGTACTGTTGAAAATTCTACTCGGCGTCCTTAAAATACCATGACACCTACAAGAGGATGCGCGGTGAAGCCCGACCGCAAGCACGTCCGACCCCCTCCCCCCACCCCCCCCCCCACCCCCAGACACACACACACACACACACACACACACATACACATATATCCATGCACACAACTCACCACTGCCTCTTGACTGCTTGCAGCGGCAATCAAATCCGGATGGTTATAGCCGATGGGAAGTGAGGAGATTTGACAGAAAAGATCCAGGAAACGATTGCCGTCAGCGTCCACAACATAGTTACCGAAAGATTCTTTCAAGTCAACAAAGAACGGAACTGAGCTGACATCCTGCAAGGACGTTACACAGGATACAGGATTCATCTTTTGGGAGATTTCTCTGTACGAGTTTAATTTGTGGAACAAGTGTTTTTCTTAAGGTGTCCACAGTACTTGTACGTTAAGTTTAGGCAGCTGTCGTCACGAGTGTTACAGCAACACAGCGTATGATAGTTTCTCTTCTCTTTCCGTGAAAATACACGTCTACTTGTCTGGTATGTGCCGCTTATACTACGATGATCAAACAAACGTTGATAAACAGGGCTGATGTCTGTATTTCATAACGAAAATACTGGTTGCAGCTTACAATCAGGAAAATAAAAAAATTTGGTACTGGATTTCAATCAATTTTGAGCTAAAAAAGGAAAGTCTTAATAATGATAATGATACAGGTCGAGTGTCTCCCAAATAATGGGTTCTACCCATCTGTCAACTGTTTCATCATGAAATAGATTGCATACAGGTTCTAGTACATGACAAGTACATGCCATTTTTTTACACCGATGTACATTTGTCAACGAAGTCCAGCCATAGCTTTTTGTCCTGTGCATTGTTGAGGCAATCCTCGAGCGGAAAGTCTTGATCATTAAAAAATTAATAAATTTTGACAAGATACACCTGCATGTGCCAGAGCAGGTACGGTTGGCATCACGGCTTTACCAGAAAGAAAGGGAGCGTGACAAGTGGCTAGTACAGAAGGATGCAGAGATACTGCAGCAGGACAAGTAGTTCGCAATAGCTGTGAGAATTTCATGATAATGTCCTTACCAGTAGTTTTCCAAGCTTGTTGATGCTCTCCTTCATGCCGCAAGAAATTGCCACACACACACACACACACAAGCATGCACACACGCACACACACACACACACGACCGTACAAAACCATTTTTTCTGGTAACTTGAAGGAAAAAGGACATATGGAAACGAGTTAAGAGTAACTCTCCACCACTGTAACTAGATACTATATACAGTCAGAAAGTGCAACAACTAGGCACAAAACTGACAGAGTACTGAGACATTCGACGTCCTGACACCTAGCTTCAACACATCTCCGTAGCGCTAATCGACAGCCTTCCAACTCGGAAGGTTCAAGGTCAAGGTTCTGACTGTATATAGTATCTAGTTACAGTGGTGGAGAGTTACTCTTAACTTGTTCCATATGTCCTTTTCCTTTCTACATTTACTATTGGCACAATACCCGAGTTTCTGGAAACTTGTTGCTAATTAATCTAGAGTGCTCATCTAATCCTTTCTTGAGCTAGGCGTAATCTTGAAAGAGCAATGTGGAACAGACTGCGTTGCTAAATATGTTTTTGGAGAAGCACACCACCACGTACATAGACATAGCACAGTGATTTGTCTAACTCTCCACTTTCTATTCTCACCTTCTCATATCACTAATACCTCTAATAGGCTCTATGAGACAAGCAGAGACAGTGCCATTACTTGTGCACATGCATGTGTATGCTGTAGTCACGCTACCAAAGTCCTGTTTTTTTCCATTGTGTGTTGTTTTTAGCACCTATCCCAGCTAATACTTTGTTTTCTCGCTTCCAAGACCATGGACCCAGCACTGGGATTGATTCTTGTTGGTTCGCATGAGAACTACCACTATGTGGCTTCAATATCATGGTACCATTGCTGATGCATGAGTGTGCAGCTTGTGCTACCAGCTGCTTCCAAATTCTGTTCTCTTCTCATTTCCCAATGTTTGCATTCTCAGGTGAAGACCATGATCAAGCAGTTGCCTGGCGATGGTGAATGGACATGAAATTCGGACTTACCGCATAGTTTTCCTATCTCCTCAGTCTATGATCTGGTACAGCTACCAGTAGAAATGTGACAAAGGGCACATTTGCACATCAATGTTCTTGCATGGAGACTACACCGGTGAAACTGAGCCAGTTCTAAGCTTTAGAATGCTGTGGACCAGTTTACTGTGACCAAGGCTGTTTTGTGTACAGGGATCAATGAAAACATGGCGACAATGCCAACGAGTGCAGTGAGTGAGAGATGCGGATAGGATTGGATAGGATTGGATTGGATTAACCCGGGCGTGACAGTAACAACAATACACCAAAATTATAGGTGGCATTATAATAGGCAACACCGGCATGAGGTAAGCCCTGTTAATTTTTTTCTACTTCGGCAATTCAAGCTGCGCCACAATGGGGTGGAAGAATGCCAAGCACAACGCTAGCAATTTATCTTCATCATTTTGCGAGAACTGTGGCAATACGCCCAGTGAGAAGGCAGGTTTTGCCTGTGCTTCTGGTGAAGTAAAAATAAAGTGAAGTAAAATAAAGCTAAACAAACAAATACACTCATACATCAGCTATCCGGGCCCTGACCTTACGGCCACTTCAGTCTACTACATGAAGGCACCGTTTGGGCAAGTTTCAGTCGAAGTACTACTCTTTTGTCACTTTTTCGTGGCAATAGTGACATCATAATGCCATATACGCGGCCTTGCCCCATCAAAATGTGTGTGATTCGGAGTTACGGACATTTCAAAGTTACGGGCAGTGTCCGATCCCGGACCGCGCGGATAAACAAGGTATGAGTGTATCAATCAAAACGCTAGGAAGGCCTTGTGCCGATCACTACTCCTACCGGCAACTTTGCGTATAACGACACTCGGCGGGGCATCAGAAAAGTGTCCTTATATCCGAAGTCTCATTTCTTGTACACAGGTAGATAGGACTTTGCTCTGGGCATGGAGATTCTGTCGCTATTCGAGTCGCTATTCGAATGAATAGTCGCTATATCCGCAGTCGTTAATAGCGAAGTTGACTGTATATTCTTATCTTACCTGAGACTTCGGACCAGGGATGGACGTGACTACCCTGGGTAGGCCGTCAAACGGTACCTCAGACACTCTAACATCGCCATCACGGCGGCGGACTTGGGCTACTGCTTGGGGTGGTCTTGACCAGGTTGTGCTTCCTGGAGGGAGATTTAAAACCGAAATAATCAAAAAGGACATCCGATGACTTCACCACAGGGTCCTGGAGTCCTGAGTTATGTCCCTACTGACCACTCCTGCTAAACACTCACCAAGGCGCTGGCCTGTGATGATCGGGTGGCCAGTGTGGTAAGCAGGGCCGGCAACCAGCACCACTGGTACAGTGGGCACGGCGGTTACGGATATGGCCATGCCCGGTTCAATTTCCCTGGCCAATTCCAGCGACCATGTAATGTCCAGCGTGCAAACATGTAGTGCTAACATTACATGTACTAACATTACATGTACTAATATTACATGTACTAATATTACATGTACTAATATTACATGTACAGGTCCTCCCTCATTATGACGAGTCCGGTTAGTACATAAACCCCGTTAGTAAATAGAAATCTGAAATCCCCTGGCGAAACGTGGTCTATACAACTGTTTACAGGTCCGGTTACAACATAATCCGTTAGTACATAAAATTCGTTATAACGACCCTTTGCCCAGGTCCCTGGAGTGCCAAACCCTCAGTATAAGATAATACTGACCAATTAACTAATTAAGTAAGAGACAACCAGCTCCAGTGGTTGTCACCTTTCACCACTTGCTGTCATTCACGCTTTGCACTGCCGCTATTTACACTTTGCTTTGTGAGGATATAAACCAATACTGATCCAGATTTCCAATTACTGTTTTCTGATGATCGCTTAGTGCGTGAAACTCTGAGTAAAAACACTTCCTCTGTCCTTCTATTGTTTGATAATACTGACCATGCAGGACCAAGGCCAAAACATGTAGGATAAAGCAGAAAGACGAAACGTAATAAATCTACCCTATGTATTTGCGAATATGGACGATCCTTTTCATCCAAGGAAGAGTTACGTTGGAGATTTTTCAATTATCTTATAACGAGTTGAAGCATCGATAATTTATGTTGTATCGAGGGTAGCCCCGGTAAGTACGAAGTAGTGCCTATTTCACCTTTAGCTGCAAGTCCTGCTACAAGATAAGTCTCGTTATAAGATAACTTTTTCGATGGCCCAGAGATTATCTACTAACGAGGGAGGACCTGTACTGACATTACATGTACTAACATGCCGTCCCTGTACATTCTTCACTGGAACTTCTCTTTGCTAAACTTCTCCTCTATGATGAGGCAGTAGAGACCTAGAGATGCATCTGCTCCCAAGATGATGCTGATACTGGGTATGGGGAGGCGCTCGACCCTGTAGCCAACCTGGGCCAGCAGTCAACCCCATGCCTGCCAACCATCCCGATTTGGTCGGGACTGTCTCGACATCGAGGGTGGTAAGGGAGCATCTCCTAAGTTCGCACTTTTTTTGTAAACGTAACGCATTTCGAATACTGTAAATATGCAAATTTTCGGCAGCTATTTAATTTCGGCTATATTCGGCACCGACCCAAAACGCCTAAATTAAAACGCCGATGAAATTTTTCACAGCATCTGTCGCACTATACCATGCCCTCTACCCCACGCCGAAAATAAATCGCCGCCGAAAAGTCAAAAATCGTGAAGTGCCGAAATTTTGCAGCACCGAAATTTTGTATATTTACAGTAGAGTTTACCCCCCTACATCCCCCCTCTATTTGAAAGTCTTATCGCACATTTTCCGTGTGGATCTGTGCATGTCCATGCCATGCATGTCCATGCACATGTACGAATGTCAAAGTGAATGGCACATAGTACTGCATCTAGTACTGAGTACAAGAACAATGAATGACATGTACACGCACATAAACAGAGTTCCTCCACAACGACTGTGAACTGTGAAAGCTGCGGCCAGGTACACAGTTTGATGATGCTGGTGTGACACTTGACACCTCTGAGTAGCCTGCATGCATGCAGTGCCAGGCTGATCTCCAAACACAGGCACATAGATCTACACCTAGTACCTAAACACGCACATTTGCTGAAGCGATCTAGCACATGCACTGCATGCACAGTATGTACACATCCAGGAAATGTGCGAACTGTCATTTTCTACATGTATTCGAAAAGGGCGTTACCCCCCTACCCCCCCCCCCTCCCCCGTTTCGAAATGCGTTACGGTTAGAAAAAATGCGAACTTATGAGATGCTCCCTAATAGGCACCCAAAAGTGCATTTTCAACTGTGTTCCATGCCACCCAGCTATATTTGCGTACTGATTTCAACAATGATTTCATACCTAGGTATGTCATTGTCACGATCTCAGGTTTGCAACGGTTCGCAGGCATGCAACCCTCGGGAGCTGGCTGGGGGACTGCACGGTCCGCACAATGATCGTTTGTAATCAGTATCACTAGGTCTTCAGCAGTCTCCCATCATGGTACTTTACAATGCTAGTTCTAGTCACAGGCATGATCGCATGTGTGTGTGTGTTAGAGTTATCAGTTTATGACTCTGGCTTTCTCCAGGCATACAATATACATGCATGCTCGTACTGTGTAGTCGTAGTGGCTGTAAGCTGTGTTCACAACTGGCGCGTGTACGCGTGAAACCACGCGTTTGTGCGAATTTTTGCTGGCTTTTGAGGCGCCATGCGTACGGAAACGCGCCGAAATGGAAATTCCAACATGTTGGAATTGTCAGCGCTTATCAGACGCGTACCAGCTTACATGCCAGTCACTCTGACAGGCGGGGTCAACAAATTAGTACTCGAAGGTGTCGCACGCGCTAAATACGACGCGGATTGCTGTTTTTTTGTGAAAGCCTGAGCGCGCGTTTGGGCACGCATGAACCGCAAGCGTACCGCGTCCACGCGCCAGTTGGGAACACAGCTAACAGTAAACACGCAAGGCGAGGGATTCCTGTGAAGTCAAGCCTTCGCTTCAGAGCTCGAATCACGGGAATAACAGATGATAGGCCCACAGCCCAAGCACACCAAAGTGCTGTGGTGTAGAACGCAGTACAGCATGCTTGTAGTTATGGAATCACCCCGCCATTATGGTGAAAACCCCACTAAGGCCACCTAGAATTAATTCGTTGTTTCGGGTCACTTCACTCATCCGTACCAGGGTCGGTCGGTCAGGTTTATTTATTTTTTTATTTTAGTTGCGGGCATGTGCATATCGAATAGCTTTTCTCCATCAAGCCAGTCGATCAAATCTGACTGTAGTCGATCCAGCGTAGCCATTGTCCCATCAGATCCAGGTCCCTTCCAGGACCAGATCTTGGCCTCGCTGGCAAACGAGTCTGGCGAGCAGCTCTCACCTAAGTCCTTGACAACTTCTGTCAATGAGCGACGCAGTGGCGGAGCTGATGCTGTTTCAGGACCGATTGCGAATCGGAGATAGAAGACAACGTCGTCACCAAGGGCTGCTTCTGAGGTCGATGTCTGGACTGCTATTATTAATTTTGGGTCGCGTGTGTACATAGTCTAGTCATGCACATTTGCATGCACTAAAAAAAAGTTGCGGTCGGGTGAAAAAAGACGGTCGGTCGGGTGACCCGAAACAACGATTTATTTCTTTGTGGCCTAATTAAAATTATTTTAATTTAATTTACATCACTTCGAAACGACAGAAGGCTCTTCAGAAAGACTATCTTGGCTGTCACTGTGTGTGTGCGTGTCTATACGTCTACTGGACTGTGACCTTTTCTAGTCACGGATCTTCCTAGCGGCTCAAACACCACCGTGGTGCTGTCAATCTGTTCTTGCAATGCTGAAGAAAACTGCGCTTGTAAGTAAGCTGTAGCGTTTCTACAAACACACAACCCAAGGCCAGATTTTAGTGACAGCTAGTGCCGCCTAGTACAGTGCTTACCTGAAATACACCGAGTTTGATGCGCAGCGAGGCGTCTCGACATGATAATACTGGGATGCACTGGCCACGAAACTGCGAAGCGAGGTGGGACACACGTCATGACGCCGATGGACAGTGATACTCGGTACTCCCAGTCACAGATCAAACCCTTTCAGCTAAGAACGCCGAAGCGGACAAGCGAATCTACTCGACCTTTGTGTGCGCAGCCATTGTCGGTACCTTGTACAGACCAGGGAGTCGTATAGCCGTGAAGGTGAACAATCAACCCCGCACTACATTCCAAGTTTTTGCTTCGCTTTGTGTGAGAGCTGCGCATGCGGGTCCTTTGCGCGGATTGGTGAGACAGACGTATCCTTTATAGTCAACTTCGCTTGTAACGACACTGGGTGGGGCATCAGAAAAGTGTCGTTATTCACAAAGTGTCGTTATACCCGAAGTCTCATTATTATGTATTACAGTTGGATGGGACTTTGCTCTGGGCATGGGTCGTTCGTTATTCGCGAATTGTCGTTATATCCGCAGTCGTTATTAGCGAAGTTGACTGTAATATTAAAATGCAAAACCGCACGGAAGTCACGTCGATCATCCATGATCCAGTGCCAGCAGCAGCTTGCAGTCGATCGAGTACATGTAGATCTACGCGTGTAGCACGACCTCCTTTGCTGCTGCTGAGTGTGCGTGACAGGCTGACAGCTACAAAAACGTGCAATGTCATGTGTACTGGCGCTAGTCTGGCAGTCTGTTGCCGCACTTGTCGCATCCCGCTCAGCTAGCTGATACAAAAACTTCTCTCCTCCGTAATATTATCGTTAGAGAGGTTTTTCATTTCGAAAAAATGCTTCGGCAAAATGGGCTTTTCCGAACAAGCATGTCGAATCTTCAAGTGCATTTTTGACATCGCTCTCGCGTGCCGAATCTTTTGCCTCGGAATACGAAACTTCTCTATTGTTTTCAGGATTGCGAGCACAACGGGGACTGGCACACGGGCGGTCGACTAAATTGTAGCCTACGTAGAGTAGACTATAAAACTTGAAAGTTGAATGCCGTAAACACGTACAAAAAAAAAAAATGTAGCTGTTCGGAGATTTAGCAGAATAAAAAGACTGCCTGTACAAAAAAACTTCTTTTCCACGGTATAAACAGAGAGCAGAGGAACACTTGTGACCAAAATGCCCATACATATGCCAGACCAGCCACCATGTATATATATTATTATAATATGCCAGACCAGCCACCATGTGCTGTCGACATGACAGTCTAGTCAGTCATGTCCTGACCCTTTCGCCCGCTCGGACATACATGTACGTTCTTGCCTTAGACTGATTTAGGGTGTAGAAATACCTAGCAGGCATATCTTGACCCAAATGAATCACTTGTCATTACTAGTACCATCATCATGTAGTAGCACATGTACGTGCGAGGGTCTTCTTGTTCCACCAACCATACACACACACGAACACACACACACACACACACACACACACTTACTTACTTACTTGTTGCTCACTGCCAAAACTGGTCACGTGAGTCTCCCCGGGAGAGGGGAGAGAGACTCAAAAAGAATCTTGGAAAGATGACTCAATTGGTTATTGAACCGCCCAACGGCCGACACCCCCTGAAATCCCCAAAACTCTGGGTGGACTTGAAAATGATCCTACTTATGGGCACACACACACACACACACACACACACACACACACACACACACACACACACACACACACACACACACACACACACACACACACACACACCTTGAACCTCGGACGTGCCCATTGCCGATGGCAATGATAGCGAAGGGACTATCTGCTAGCTTTGCAGTATGGAGCGTGGCGCTTGAGATCCCCGGGACGACGGCAGACCTTTCCACATGCGCAGCGGAAGCCAGAGTCAGGATCAGGGGGAGCACGGGCGGGAGGACGACGATGGGCAATCTGCCTCCAGGCAGACCGATCCTGGGCAGCAACAAACCAGCAGTCAGAGGCACAGGGGGCTGGCGGGGCACACACACGCACACACACACACACACACACACACACACACACACACACACACACACACACACACACACACACACACACACACACACACACACACCTTGAAACTGCCAGTAACTCAAAGAGGCAAGGAGGGCAGAGTTACTTCCTGCATTTGTGTACACACACACATACACAGTCACACACACACACACAAATTCACATGCACACTCGGACAGACACAGACGAGTCTGCGAATATTTCAATGACAGATACTGCATTAGAAATTTTCGGCTATTAGCAAGTTACCAAAACTAGCAACACGCTATTATTGGCACTGAACACCTAGAGTCGGATTCTTACACAAGATCTATTTGGTAAGGTGACCAGAATGAGAACGAAAAAAAAGAAAAAGAAGAAGCAATACCGGGTAGAGCAGGATGCGAAATACTGAGAACTGGAGAAGGGAAAACTTATCACGGAAAGTAAGGGAGAGCGATGAAAACCACCAGTGAGTACCGTAGCAGTTATCTGTTGAAAGTCCTCTACTGCTGCAGCGAACAAGGATGCCATACTTACACACGCATACCCACACCCACGTGTACAAACACACATACACACACACACACACACACACACACACACACACACACACACACACACACACACACCCAGATGGGCGGGGTATAAACAAGCAGAAACACCAGGAGTGGAAATTACAGAGAAATGGATAATGGTAGGGTGCATATAAAAAAACGAATTTGTGTGAGAATTGTTTTAAAAAACTTATTTTTTCCTACAGCGGGATCCTAGAATCGTTAAAATAGACAAGGGCATAAAAATGTACACCACAAAAGAAAATCATACATCATTATAATGGTACATGATGTTGAGTGTTGGTCTAAATTCACAAGTTTGAATTTTTTTATAGAGCTTGCACGGGTTCTGGCCATATCATGGCATCTATATCTGGGCGAAGGCTTGACCATCTAGATCTGGGACAGGGCTTGGTGGAACAGAGGCATGGCGATGGAGATGTGTTCTGGCGTCAGGAGCAGAGTCGGGCGGAAGCGAATGCTGTGCTCTCCGCAGCCACCCGTGTGCACGCCTGCAGATGACAGCAGATGTCGCAACAACACAACAAAAAGACATACTTGCTAGCATTAACAGAGCATTACGTAACACCCGCGTCATCCTGGAAACGAGTGGCGAAAACTTGCCATCATGAGTTGCACACTGTTCGGAGGTGTGTACAGTCGTCCCATTGTGATCCAGCGACCTCTACAAACCAGCTTAATTTTCAGTAACCAAAATGTCCTCTTCATGCGCACAGTAGCAGTTTTTTTAAATAAAAAAATATCGTACTAGGGGAGTCCCAACAGGCTACCGCCATTTTACCCCAGTGAATCAAATCTGTTAATCCAGCACCCTCAATAAACCAGCAGAATTTCCGTAGCACAAGTGGTGCCATATTATAGGAGGACCACTGCGTAACTCTTGTTTCCAGTTTGTGTGCACACATATGTTGTACATGCTGTTGAACCATGGTATACGCTGCTGAGCTGCTTTGTACAAACTGCATTGGATCCCTGACACGTGCACCTTTTTGTGCTGATGAGTACACCACTTTTGTGCTGATGAGTGCACCACTTTAGTGCTGATGAGGGCACCAAATATTTCCTGAATATGATTCCTTCGTCAGTTGTCATTTGTCAGTTGTCTAGTCGTCTCCTCAGACCAGGAACTCAATAATACTCTCTCCCTCTAAACAAGTAACTTGGCCTTTTGGTGTGTGGCGCGATCGCGCAAGAGGAGTGCAGCTCCACCTATTGTTAGCTGATGACACATACATACTCAATAAGACTGACTGGCACAGCTGATCACGTACCTAGCTGCCAGAGGTTTGAAATCAGCTTGGACTGAACGTCGGCACTTGCACAGTCGATGGCACAGAACGTACCGGCACCACGTGCGTTACTCAGCAGTGACGGAAACGTATTCTGGATAGCGACACAGGGCAAACACACACACACACACACACACACACACACACACACACACACACACACACACACACACACACACACACACACACACACACACACGCGCACACACACACACACACACACACACACACACACACACATGATTGAGTGGATTACAGTCACAAGTCAATGTGATACCGGGTGTGATCTACAATGCGTGAAACTTTGCAGGATACAGTCAGACCCCGCATAACCGCACACATCTGTTTTCCACAAAAAATATCCGGATAGGCGAGGGGACCGGATAGGCGAGGGGACCGGATAATCGAACTGTATGTATGCATGGCATATGCTGTAAATCGGTAACCAGCGATTTTCTTCTGGATGGCGACGGATCCGGATAAAAGAGGACTGGATAAGCGACGTCTGACTGCACTGGTATAATTATGTCAGTGTTATACAGAGACTGTGCAGTACAGGTATCTCCTGAACCGTGCACCTATTCGGAATCTGAAAACTATCTCCTTGTGGACATAGCAATAGGGAGGAAACATGTAGCCATTCCGGCTCTCAGCTCCTGACTACAGTAAAACCTGTGACTAACGACCACCCCCCCCCCCCCCCCTTGGGGCCAGAGATAGTGGTCTTTAGTGGCAGGTGGTCCTTAGTTAGAGGTTTGCACCGCACAACCATAATGAACGCGAGACCGTCCGTGCCTGGTCAAGTGGTCTGTAGTACCAGGTTGGTCGCTAGTCACGGTGGTCTTTAGTTGCACGTTTTACTGTAATGTGCCCTGCAATGAATTGATACTAGTACTAGTAGTAACTTTAGTAGTGCCTCTACATACCTTTCATGGTAGCACTGTATCTTTTGACCTGACGATGGCCGAGTGCCGAAATGGTGCAAGTTCGTGGACTGGGTTCAGATGAGCAGTGCTGTGAGAACGGGCTTGTCCAAATTACCAATTATCTCTACAGTGAACTAGGTGTATATTGTAAACCGCCCAATGTTTGAGTTACTAATTTTTTTTGCGATCTCTCAGAACCAGCAAGTTTACTATGGCAAATATTCGCGCACATACACACCCACTGTAGAAGCTTGATTTCACGATGGCTAATATTCGCGTTATGCTCTTCTCGCAAAATTAGCAAACATTGATACGTCGCAAACATCATGCAGTACACAGTAGTTAAAACCTTGCGAATAGCCATCCTCCATTGTCCATGAGTAAAGTGACGTTATTCGCGAGTTGTTGTTATTCGTGAGTTGTTGTTATTCGTGAGGTTGAAAACATGCAGTCAGCTGGTCACCAGGTCGGGGCCTGAAGATTGTGTCGCTGTCCACGGGTTCTTGTTATACCCGAGGTCATTGTCCACGAGTTCTTGTTATACCCGAGGTCGTTGTCACAAGGTGGACTGTACAGGTAATTAAGTGGCTTGGCCAAGCTGCTGGAAAAATTATTTGATGCTTTCTCTAGCCTTGGCAACCTACCTGCAGTTCTTCAAGGCCTGTCAGCAGGGCTTTACCAGTGATCTGAGCTTGTGCTACCAGATTGTCTCTCTGGATAACCTTGACAGTCTCGCCGGCAATGGCCATCCTTGCTACGTCTCCGTACCATGTGTTGAACACACGGTTGCTCTACAGCACACATACACACATGTACACACACACACACACATACGCACACATACACACACGTGCATGAATGCATATGTGCACAACGCGTACCCATTCATACACACACATGCACACACACGCACACACACACACACGCACACACACACGCACACACACACACACACAGGCACACATCAAAGAATGTATCTTCACTTGGAATGCTAGTGTGTACGACCAGGGTTGGGTAGCACGGAGGTCATTCACAGGACTAGGAAAATGGTTCAGACTATCAACAATCTCATGAAGTACACAGACAGATTGTCACCGTGCTCAACATGTCACAAACATAGGGCAACCTATGCATGCAGAAGACGTTTTTCCATGGTATGCATGATAAGGCATGCCAGATAGCTAGCTCTACTGCATGTAAGGAACCATTTGAGTCTGGCTGTGTGTGTGTGTGTATACGTGTGTGTGTGTGTGTGTGTGTGTGGTTTGTGCGTGTGTGTGTGTGTGTGTGTGTGTGTGTGTGTGTGTGTGTGTGTGTGTGTGTGTGTGTGTGTGTGGTGTGTGTGCGTGGTGCGTGTGAGCATGTGTGTGTGTGTGTGTGTGTGTGCGTGTGTGTGCGTGTGTGTGCGTGTGCGTGTGTGTGCGTGTGTGTGTGTGTGTGTGTGTGTGTGTGTGTGTGTGTGTGTGTGTGTGTGTGTGTGTGTGCGTGGGTGGGTGTGCGTGGGTGTGGGTGTGAGCATGTGGAAAAAATGAAATGAAAAATAGGGATTCACTGGCCAGAAAAAGTCACTTCAATCAGCTGTGTGGTGGATACCAGGCTAAAACAATTAGTGGCGGTCAATTCATCAGCCTTGCAAGCTGTTGAATGGTGTAATCCCAGCACAAGTTGCTATGTCTAACATAGCTGTTCGCTATCATCACTTCTGCGATGGGCATGTCTGAGTCTGAGTCCGAGTACGTGCAGCTACCTGGTTGGGTCTAAATTCGCTTCTGTAGTAGAAACCTCCGATCTGCATCTTCTTGGCAAAGCTCATGATGTCTGGTGGGTTCGGCAGATTCCATTGCTCATGGGCCCTGAATAACACACAACAAAAAAACACATGGACAACGGCAGTGGTGACGATACGGACAATGGAAACGATGATGGATGTAACTGATGGATGTAACTGATGGATGTAACTGCGGAAAAAATTCTTTAAGTTACCGTATGTGTAACACGCATAGCTAGAGCACAAGCAATGGAGGGAGAGTGGGAGGATCGAAATCACCGCAAACCTTCTCATCCTTGTTTCATTCAACTGGGTGGTGTCAGTTTCCCGTTGATGCCGGGAAGCATGAAGATCCATCAGGCGTAAATACAACATGGGGAGGGGGAGAGGGGGGGGGGGGGAGGGGGTGTGAAGGCAAGAGCCTCGGTTTGTTCATCGCAACAGGATAGGTGCATGTGGTGGCTCAAACCAGGTTTTACTGTACATGTCCATACTATAACAGCAGGGCTCTAGTCTAGTCAGAACTGCCTAAGCTGATAAACCATCGACAGGACAGGAAAGGCACCGGCTGCCTTTGAAGCGAAGCATCTTATTACGCCTATGGCTAGGTCTTAGAGGGCTTAAAACGTTGGCCCTACCACGACGGCTGCAATTGCACGGTGATCGGCTTGGCAAGACCCACTGGCTGCTACACGGGATACATCTCCAGTGTGAGGATTTCATGATGAACAATGAGGGGGCTGGATGTACTGACTCCATACAGTTATTAGCACGAACCATAATAAGAGGACGAAAAAAAGTGTTTTTACTCCGAGTTTCACGCACTAAGCGATCATCAGAAAACAGTATATTTATTTACTAGCACGGGTAGAATAATAGATCCATTGTGACTTACCACATGGATCCAGTGGTGGCAACGCCGGTTTGCACTTCATCAACGATGAACGCTGCACCAAACTAACAATCAAGCAAACCAACAAGCACATACACAGCAGTGCAAATTATAACTCTAGTTCAGTCCAGCAGAAAATTCCTGGTGATCCGGTGGATAAGCCCAAAGAGTTCTTCAAAGTACGCATATCAGAGCGTGACCTACAACTCTGCATGCTGGTTCAGGATGGCTAAGTTGCTGATTACGTCATTTTCGTGTCCGTTCTCGTTAAAATGAAATCAGACAGGGTGTACTGGTGCAGAGCAAGACTGAAGTCACGGACCGTGAATTCCGTGACTTGTCCAGAAGGATGCGAACGACGGAGAGCGCTTTCCCACAGTCATGCCAAGTGACACACTCTCGTTTAGGTAGTATGGTAAGAATGTATACACACACACACACACACACACACACACACACACACACACACACACACACACACACACACACACACGCACCCACACACACACACCGGTTACCTCTTTGGTAATCTTCTGTAGGTCTCTGAAGAATTCTGGAGAGGCATGGTTATCACCTGATGAACACAACGAATGGAGACAATAAAAAACTTTCAAAAAAGGTGCCGGAGATCACCGGGGAACATGACACTGTCGTTGCAGAGCTTGCCTCATGCCATGTTCACACATTGATGGGACCAACATGAATGAAGTTTGCTTACGATTACCAGCAGCCAGTCCGCCTTTACAAATTTTGCAGTCGAACTGTTTATGATAATTTCACATTCAAACCTGTACACTTGGGGTACCGGACTCCATGACGTACATGAACTGTTTGTCAAAACCACAGCAGCGGACTCACCTCCCTCTCCCTGAATAGGCTCCACAATCACACCGGCCACGTTGTGACCCTTGGCATTCCACTCGGCAATGATCGACCGGACCTGCAACAACAATGCACACCACACATCTCTTATTGGCGATGGTGCCATCGTGAGAATAAAGAATCCAAAACACGCAATAGGGTATTCTGTGAACAACAAAACACCATCATGGGCACAGCATGCAAACATCAAGCCCATCCATAGCACACATACAGTGAAGCGCGGAAAGCAAACGGTACAAGCCGTAGAGGAATGACACATTTCCATTGGACATTCCGGCAGCAGGTTATGTTAGATCTTGCTGTCTCAGGCAAAACTCGGAGCACAAACTGCAGAATTCCAACTTGAACGCCACACGTAGCCATTTGAAAAAGCCCCCCCCCCCCCCAACCCTCTTTAAGCAATCATACAGTGGTGGCAACTGAAATCCGACCCCCTGAGCGGTGCGTTCACATTCTAGCGGTCTCTATTTCCTAGTGTTACAGTCTCGTGTTGTGTCAGTCTGTGCGATGTGTACGCACCGCTCCGGGGTCGGATTTCAGTTGCCAACACTGTACAAGCACGCATGCTCCAACAGCGTTTTGGTCATGGCGAACACGAGCATTGCGGTTATGAGTCCTCTTGCTGGGTCGATGACAGAGGCGTGAAAAGTGAGGACACATGGAATGGCAATAGGCTGGAGCCGAAGGCACGCACTCATCTCACACTCCTAGAGAGCCTGTCACGATTACTGTGCCTATCAAACAACACGTTGACTTGCAGCGACAGCAACCACGCATGCACACCGTCCGTCTAGTGCATATACACAGCAACACCACTCCCAACCATACACACACACACACACACACACACACACACACACACACACACACACACACACACACACACACACACACACACACACACCACCCTCATACTAGTTACAGGACCGGCGGAACTGGTCCGGTTGGTCAGGCCATGGCCGGACCAACTCGTTGACCACCAACGTGTGTCTACTGCCGAGAGGTCATGTATGCCGTTCATATCATACACAAACTGTACGAAAGGCTAGGGTGTGGCCGGACCAATCAATAACTGCTTCCGCCGGTCCTGATTAGTCTAGTGCACATACGCAGCCACAACACTCCCAACCACAGACAGACTGCGCTTACATGTGCACCAGTGTTTGCACATACAACTGCCCCCCCCCCCCCCACACACACGCACACACACACGCACCATTTGACCATTTGACGCCCATCGCCAAAGGCGATGATAGCGATGCTACAACAGAAGCCATAGCAACTTGTGCTGGGATTGCACCATTCAACAGTTTGCATGCAGGGCTGAAGAGTTGACCGCCACTATCCAGCCTGGTCTACACCACGCAGCTATGAAGTGGCTTTTTCTTGCCACACACACACACACGCACACACACACACACACACACACACACACACACACACACGCACACACACACACACACACACACACACACACACACACATTCACAATTCATGAACCTACCGCTTTGAGGCAGCGCTGCTCTTCCTGGCGATTTTCCTGGGCATGCTTGTCCAGCGGATACTTGAGCTGAGGGAAGGGCGCAACTGGCCATTGGAATGCGGGCATGTCGATTTTGTGCAGTGCCTTGGAACGTGTGGAGGAGAGTGTACCTGAACATGGAGGACACAACACAGCAACGGCGCCAGTTACCACAGACTAGTACGATATGCGTATGGCAGAACACACTGCACTGCACTGTACTGCACTACACTACACTGCACTGCACTGCACTGTACTGCACTACACTGTACTGTACTGCACTACACTGTACTGTACTGCACTACACTGTACTGTACTGCACTACACTGCACTGCACTGTACTACACTGCACTACACTACACTACACAGCACTACACTACACTACACTACACTACACTACACTACACTGCACTACACTGCACTACACTACACTACACTACACTGCACTACACTGCACTACACTGCACTACACTACACTACACTGCACTACACTACACTACACTGCACTACACTGCACTACACTACACTGCACTGCACAGCACTGCACTGCACTACACTGCACTACACTACACTACACTACACTACACTACACTACACTACACTACACTGCACTACACAGCACTGCACTACACTGCACTGCACTACACAGCACTGCACACAGTACACTACACACAGTACATACACCACAGGGTGAAATTCCAATCATGACAAAAACAATCTAGCAGATTACTATACGAAGGTCCTATAACCTTTTGTGCGAAAAACATGATACATTCTACCCATGTTTAACCTTCATCCGCAGAATTGCATAAGAACTGGAGTTATTTCAGCATCTCTAGTGTTACACACAAATCATTGTCAACCACCTCAGAAAGCGATGCAATTCAGGTCTAGAAAGACATGTCCTTACCCAACGTCCGTCCATGAAAGCAGCCTTCGAATGACAGAATGCTCAGGTTTGGCGAACCAGGTGGCTAATTGGTGTAGCCAAGACAAGAAACACACACACACACACACACACACGCATGTTTTAAAAATGACATTTCAATTTTTCACCCTTTCACTGCCAGTTGACCACTCAAGGTGACAAGGCGCTCCTTGCCAGGCTGTCAGCTGAGCTGTACACCACCCCCTCCCTGCCAGGCACTTTTTACCTCCAGCTAAAAAATCGAAAGGCAATCTCATGGATTTGTTGGTACTTTCTGTACGGAATATAGCTTTCCAAAGTATATATCACGGCTGTTCAAGTGATCCGGGCACTGGCAATCTAATATGGTGGCCATTACGTCACAGATTTTCAAAATTCCTCGCATTTATTTCCCGTATCCCAATTATCTAAAGACTTGGACCAAAATTGATACAAATGAAGGCCTTCCTGACTTACTTCACTGCTGTTAGTCTGAGGAAATCGGTTTCCGAGACCGGGAATCTCCAAGGAACGTTTTGATGCCTTTTCCACACGTCTCCTCCATCCTTGTCCTGCGCTGCGCGAGGTTTTTCCTGTTTGGCGCTTGATGCGAGGAGGAATAGGTTGTTGCTGTCATATCATCCGTCGTGGAGTTGTTTTTTTGGGGGGGGGGGGGGTGTTGGTGAGTTATTACGGGTTGACGCATTCTTCGTCTGCCCCAAAATTTGAAATTCGTTCCAGGTTATTCCGTGGAAACAGAAGTCACTCATCACCCATTTCCGAACTTTTTGTGTGATTTGAACAGACACTATTCACTCATGGACGAGTATCGTGCCATCTTGCAGTCAAGCTGTCAAGTTGGTGAGCAGAAGATATTGAACCTGACCCAGACAACCAAGTACTCCATTGCCAATTTCAGACAAACCATACTGCAGGCCGTGAAAATTGATGTTGGCCAGGATCATGCGGATGTGCATCCCAAGTACATGTGTAGATTGTGCAAGAATGCACGCGAGAGACGTTGTAGCGGGTCAGAGGCTTGTGGTGGTGATGCGGCTGTGGTGAGCTGGTAACATGGTGTAGTAACTGGCCTTTCTCCACCTGCTCCCAGTCCCGTGCCATCTCCACACTTGTACAAAGGGGACGACGATAACTACATTTAGAAGACTGTTTATTGACACGACGAAGAAACACAACTAGACAAGACGAAGACTACTTTTTACACTACAGCAACACGCGCATGCGCCAACATGATGTACACGCGACGTACACAAAATAACGTATTATGGTAGAAAGTCCGTCTACTACACTGCTCCCCTCTCAAATAATTTTCCGTCCTCGGAAAAAAAACAAGAACATAACTCAAAAATTAATGTATACACTGCTGCCTCCTCAAAAGGCTGAATCGTTCCTGATTCAAAAAATAATAACCGAAGAAAAATAGATCACACTAGCCACGCGAGCATACCACACCAATCACCCAAAAATGTATCGCAGCAAAACACAGCAGCCAGAGACCATCTGCCATTCACGCAGGACCTGATAAACACAAAAACCCTGTCTGCCCACCAACCAGACCTTCAGCTCACGCGCTGGAACACAATCGTGGGAAATGCATACAACATCCAACTCGTGCCACCTCACCAATCACGCAAAAATTCTAAAATGTAAGAGGACAAAATAATAAGAAGAGAGTAATAAAGTAAAACCCACGAGCTGCGATCTGTGGAAGCGGCTTTAGTACTCATCATCTCGGATGAAGAGCAAATAAGAAAATGACCCTTGTCCTCGAGGAGAGCAACTGATAAATAAACGAAAAAAATTGAGGAGAACAGCAAATACAAAACTCACGCGGTCTACCATGTCGTCCGCCATCTCAAGGAATGCTGCTCAGCGTCGACATTCTCACTTCTGGGCACAGTTTTACGTCGTGTCCGGGACCATCCATCCTTCTTTTTCTTTTCCTTTTCTTCTGGGCACAGTTTTACGTCGTGTCCGGGACCACCAGTGACGACGATTGACAAGAGACGGGTGAGACGAATGATCGAGGACGACGGACGAACTTCTTGAAGACTGACGAAACTGTGACGATAGGACGACTGGAAATGACATCGGAAACTGGGAGCGAAGGCCACGCAGGACGAATCCAGAAGTTGATGTTGACAACAAAATTCTATCACCGCTGCCACCAATGTAGTAACTGGCCTTTCTCCACCTGCTCCCAGTACCGTGCCATCTCCACACTTGTACAAAGGGGACGACGATAACTACATTTAGAAGACTGTTTATTGACACGACGAAGAAACACAACTAGACAAGACGAAGACTACTTTTTACACTACAGCAACACGCGCATGCGCCAACATGATGTACACGCGACGTACACAAAATAACGTATTATGGTAGAAAGTCCGTCTACTACACATGGGTTGCACACATGCGCACAGTATGCACCCGCCATGCAACAAAAGCAAAAGGAGGCAGACCACCGAAACGGAAAGCAGGCTACAAGATCAGTGGAGCTGTCTCTGGGGACACAAAACGTCAGAAATCTAGCGAGCTTGCGTCGACAGCAACTGCACCCACCGTTACTATCACAGCTGCAACAACAGGCTCAGGGATAGCGACCACAGAAAGCACAGCAGTAGGAACGTCAGTGACAAATACGACTCTGAGTACAACACTAGTTCCCACCAGCATGCGCCCCAGCACACCCGAGCCTCCTGCTACCACCCGCTGCTAGCATCAAACATGACCCACATCACACCTAAGCTGCATCCGTCGGAGCAACATGCTGCCCCAGCATGATGCCCGTACGCGTTGGATTGGGCCTTCTTGCCGAGCAGGGGGCCGAGTCGATCCACGCAGAGTATAACTGTCTGCTGCGAGCTTATGCCTCCATCCCATCGGAGTTGCGCCGGCTGAAGGCCGTTGCGGAGGCTCACCTCGCGAAAACAGGACCGACCAATGTTCGGCGCCGTGTTGAGAAATAATTGCAATCAAGGTAGTGCATTTCCACTTTGAAGAGTCTTCGAGTGCAGCCGCTCATTATCTGCACTGTCCTGTCCTCCTTTTTGCAGCTTACTCGACTGCCTTGACCCAGAGCCTTAGCGCACCGTCTGGCCTGATGGACTGTTGCCTGATCATTGTCCTACTACCATACGAAAGTACTGATACTACATGCGCTTCCTGTGTTTTGCAATAACCTGCATCAAGAACTCTTGTCTTTCTCATCATTTGTATTTATTTCCATTTGCTCTTGGAGCGCTTGCATTTGAGCTCATAAGCTGAGCACGACTTCAAGTTTGGTCTGTCGTCTTGTCAAGATGTAGTCGTTTTCCGTGTTCTTGTTTATTCGTCAATAAAAAGAGTGTAAAAAGGCAGTCGAGTGGTGGCGGTTGAGCTGATGCAGGATGGAGAAGTAATGTTAGACGCACGACTACAACATTTGTTTCCTTGCAAAACATCCGAAACACTCACTAAAAACCCGGCAATAGTTTGCATTTTTGTTTCAAATCCCATCCGTTTTTTTAATAACATCACTTAATTGATAAAACGAGCAGGTAAACCAGAGCCATGCATATCATGACTGCCATGTTATTAGATAGCCGCGCGTGAACTGCCGTGACATCCCGGTTAGATAACTTGTAACAAAGGAAGCCATTGCCCTCGAAAAAATCGCAAAATCCGAAGAACAAGCGTGCTGCGCGTTCTAGCGCAGCCACTGTGCACAAATGCCTGTCATTTCCTGTACCGCAAACGTGCGTCGCATGCGCTACATACTGCAAAACAGGAAAAATAGGCATCAAGTCTGAACCAAATTTCATGCTCCTTGCAATGACAGTTGATGGTAAAGAGAAAAATACTCGCACCGACTCAGCGAGATGGAAGTGCGCGAGAACCGATTTCCTCCACGCCGCTCGTCAAAAAATAAGATTGCCATTTTCAGCGATGCTGGTTCAATTTTTATCAAACAGCAACCCATACTTCTGGCAGCGTATTTCGATGGGTATGGGCCTCTTCCAGGGCCCAGTGGCCCTCCGCCACGGATAAACATCTCCAATATTTAAAAAAATAGTGGCTCAAACTGGGTGAACTCGGCCTGTCGACTGCAGTCAACAGCGGCACTGGGAACTGCATGTTTGCTGGTCAACGCAAGTCGACAGTGGCACTCACAGTGCATGAATGGGCTGTGGACTGCAGTCATGGAAGCAATAGCAGCACCAGCAGCAGCAGTTGCAGCACTGGAGGAAGATGTTTAAATTTGACTCACCATATTGATCATACATGAAGCCTCTTGCTCTGCTGTGAATCCCTTATCGCTGATACCATTCTTGATCTTGAAACCGTAAACACGACAAACACACCCACACACACACACACGCACACGCGCACACACGCGCACACACACACACATATACACACACACACACACACATATACACACCTTACAGTTACAATAGCGAGAACGCCTAAATTGCCTAGAGAGCTCTAACCCTTTAGGGCCCACAATTATTTCAAGAAATGCACTGCATACGCGAGCCCGGGTACTTATCTGGTCGTAACTTTGGTGACCTTTGGCCGATTTTGGTGATCTTGGGCTTTCTGGAAAGCTCTTGGCCAGAGGAACACAGCGATAGCCAGCAATGCATCACTCGACCCACAGAACCAGCGCCGCAGCGCGATACAGCGCTCCAAAGCCAGCATTGCGAGCGCCCAACTCAAATTCTCTGCCATTTCAACAAATTGCATCGCAGATCGCTCAAATTTTTTTTACTGGAGAGCTGAGAAACATGCCTTTGCGATGACGTGAACTATCTGTAACTGCGTGGGCCGCGAGTCAGGGAAAAGCACTAAAAACAAGTTCAAAATGCACGTGCTCGAGTTGACTCTGCTGAGCGAATTTAGTTCGAGTCTCGTATCTCCGCTCTCCGAACTCGGATCACTTTCGGGTTTTTTCGAGCCGATAGCTCAGACAATTCTAATGTCGATAGCCCTTTCGATTGTCCGATTTGGTCAAGGGGCGGCCGAGTTACGCCAGGTTGCGCTTTGAAAAGTATGCACTGTACACTGGTACGGATATATCCGTACTATGGGCCTCAAAGGGTTAAAACACCACAAGGATGGAGCAATACCATAAAGGCAGAAGAGAACAATCAAGTTTATATTATCGTTGCTGCAGAACATTAATTTTACGCATGGGTGGGATCTTGGATCAGCAGCTGAAAACTGGGGGGGGGGGGACTGGTACAACTCTCTTACCTGATACCACATGAACGCACACTTGTATGCATTCTCGTTAGAGCAGGATCCACACATCATGGGCATGACTTCAGTCAAACCCTTGGGTGCCACCTGCAGCAGCCATGCACACAAGTACAATATTTCAATTAGTGTTCTATACACATACATACATTAGAGTTACTTGATCCACATGAGAGTTATATACACAGTTTAATAAGGTCCTCAGGCTGCATACACTGCTCTATGTACAGTGGACAGAGCCAGTTATACAACGATCACACAGGAAAAAGAAGATTTGTTTGCTTCATTGCTGTGTGATCTTTGTATGAGAGTTATATACACATATAAGAGAAAGAGAGAGGGGTCCGATCGGAATAGGTTGCGACTCAGAGTTTCATGCCGAGGCAATTGGTAGACAACTCTGCAGTCTGCTTTTAAAAATGAGCGCTTTTCTGGCAGTTTGCAAAATCATCCTTGTAACACATGTCCAGTAAAACCTGTGTTTGCCGGACACTGTACCAAGCCCAATCCTGTATTGACCGGACCACCTAAGTGCTGTGGATCGAATGCGCATCCCTGGATCAAGCGCAATCACGCCACATCAGGATAGTTTCCGCCGCACCAAGGGCGTCCGGCTAGGGGCAGAGTTTACTATACCTGTGCATTTAGGCAGAGTATGACACTATCAACCTAAACTGAGTCGAGAGCTTAGTCAGCTGACGAGGGTGCGAGCCAATGGAGGACTCGACCAATGCACAGCAACAGCAGTACTATCTCACCGACAACAGAGACTCCTTGACATCCTTGGCATACCCCGTAGGTGGGTGGCGTCCCAGAGCAGTACGGTTAGCTAGGTTCAGCTACAGCAGGATAGTAGAATGCACAGATACATGTCACGATATCGCCGAAACCAAACAGTGGGATGCGTAAAGGGTTGCCGCAAATGTGCATCGTGTTTAGCTTAGTCAATGACACTCAGCATGTGGGCCAAGTCAATGACACACACAAACGGATCGGCATGAGTCGCCGCCACGTCCTCAAATCAGACTGTACCAGCCAGTGCTGCCAGTCTGGGCTCGCGTGACCAGCCAGGACTTCCCCGGTGCTTCCAGCTGGGATCCTGGCTAGCTGTCCAAGCGTGTTTGGCTTGAAAACGCACAACGTGTTACTTTGCTCCGCCCAATACCCTGCACGGATGCCAAGAGGCTGGATGACGGCCATCTTGTATGTCCGCAAGACCGGGATAGAGTGGTGCATTATGATCATCTCGTAACAGAGGCACAGGTCGTACACAGCACTGTGGCGCGCCGAAGAACATAGTGCCGAAGAATGAACAGGCTAGAACTTCACCAAGCACAGCATAGCGCTATGTACGTGGTGCCTGTACTGTACATATTATTATTATTATTATTATTACTAGAAGCTTCTCCGCGTTGGCATCAATGCAATGTAGATATACACAGCATGTATAGCTTTCGCATAAGCCGAAGCGACAACAGCCAAACAGGATATTGATGGCGATACTGTGTATACTGTACATATACTGCTGGACATAACAATTGGAATGGCCTAGGCTACGAGGCTGACCGCCAGTTATTCGCCACCCGGCAGTAGTACTGTCGTGGCAAATGTCTTACATTGGCAGGTGTAGCATAGGTGTGTGTTGTAACAAACTTACAGCCACAGACTGGCTCTGGGCCACAGCAAGCAGTTCTGGATGATTGTAACCGATGGGCACTGAGGATATCTGACAGAAGAGATCCAGGAAGCGGTTGCCGTCGGAGTCAACGATGTAGTTACCTGAGCACTTCTCAAGGTCGACGAAGAACGGAATGTTGCTGGCATCCTGTGGTGTGTGTGACCACAGACGGACATCCACACACATCCACACATGGACACACACGGACACACATATACACACACACACATATACACACACATGGACACACACGGGCACACATGGATGCACATACACACAAAATCAGAATTGGAAGAAGTTTGAGTTGAATATGCTTATCGCGTTGGAGGAGAGGACAAGATTGGAGTCATTCAACAAACCAGATTCGTCAAACTGGATCCGAGACCTGTAGAGAAGAGATAGGAGAATGGTTAGAGACCGCCCCAGTAAGGTAGCCAGGTACCGCTTGAGTTCCCACAGGTGCATTGCAACAGTGAAGTGGCACGGGTCACAGCCACACTACATAACACAGTCATACAAACTACTGTTGAGTCGACATTGAAATCCAGTGGAATGATCGGGGGTCGGCACCGCTACTGGTCTGTAGTGCATCCACACACTGCAGTTCACGTACACTGCAATAATGGAGCAGCAGTGCTCACGGCTGCAAGGCCAGCGCACCGTGGTCGCTTGACTTCTCAACGGATTTCAACGCCCACACCAGTACTACAGATGACCAAAACACCGGACTTAATAAGAAGAAACAAATGAACACACGTGCATACAGCTGAGAAATGCAGGACCTGATATGCAAACTCTGCAAGTATAAGTCGCAATCCTTGCACACAACCAGCATCCAGCTACTATAAATATACAAAATTTCGGCGCTGCAAAATTTCGGCACTTCACGATTTTTGACATTTCAGCGTGGGGTAGAGGGCATGGCATAGTGCGACAGATGCTGTGGAAATTTTCATCGGCCTTTTAATTTAGGCGTTTTGGGTCGGTGCCGAATACAGCCGAAATTAAATAGCTGCCGAAAATTTGTATTTACAGTATTGGACTAAATGTCTACTTTAGCCCAAGTAGAACAGATCAACGACAGAGACATACATGTGGATGCTGCTTACCATTATCTCACGAAGTTCAGCGGTGTTTTTCTGAAACAACAACAGGGAAACAAAGGCATGGAGAGTTCAGTTCAGTAAAACAGGATAGCAGTAGAAAACGTTGACACTTTGCGACAAAACGAATGCAACACGAATCTCACTCGGCCCAGCCTACGATTGAAGAGGCATCCACTCGTATGTACGAACAGCCGCGTTACGAATCGTCCGGCTTTCGACCAACAGTTACCAATACCTCATTAACGACATAGACATGCTACAAGAATCCAGAAAAAGAAGGAGCATTGGACACGTGCACATCTTGAAGTCGTAAGAAAGTGGAATGTCTCGACTGTCCCAGAGGATATCCGATCACCACTTCCTGCCGTTCTTGTCAAGCGACGTGGCATCTGATTCTACCCACTGCTAAAGGAACATGACAAGTTTGCCATGTACTGTAGAGGCAGAAAATTTCGTCGGTCAATAATTTCGTCCAACTCCAAAGAAAGGGAGTTCGTCCGGTTGAAAATTTCGTCCATGGATTCTAAGAGTGTATTGAAAAGCGGGACAAATCGACATTAGTCCGGCATTTAATTTAGTCCAAAAGCTCCTTGGACGAAAAAGACGAAATTAAATTCCAGACGAATATTTCTGCTTATACAGTACCTAGTTACAAGTACACACAAGCATACATTCATACTGCTGCTTTACCTGTGTGTTGGGCCCTGGAACGGCGGTGACAATCTTGGGCAAGCCATCGACGGGCTCTTGCCTGGCTGCAGAGCTGCTGAACGGACGGCTTGCTGTTGATGCCGCTGCATAACGAGAAACAATACACGTATGTAGAACACAGCGCACAGACACCATACAGGTTTATAGTCTAAATGACATACCGGTAGCATGACAGCACAGAACAGACATACAATATCCTATTGATTACTTTCGAATTTTCTCGAGTACAGCTCGTGTTTTATCGAGCAACACTTCATCTTTTCTTCCATCGTCTTTATACTATTGGGCATCAATGCCCGTTTGGTTTGCGGCGTACAATAAAACTTCAAACGAACAAAATAAGATACAGGGGTATAACAAGAGTGACATTGTGCGGCTCTGCACTCCCCTTTGTATCTTTGCAGCCTTCTTTCAAAATCAAATGCTCCACTGTGCCGTGCATGATTGGACTGGTCAGCACCATCGTTACCCTATGCAGGATGTACTGCATGCATGCAGGATGTAGTACATGAAGGCACTAAACAGGGCTACCCTAGGCTGGTTCATAGCTACAGTCGAGTAACGACGAAAGCAGACGATGCAGGTGTAGTCGCCATACCCCGATCCCAAAATCCATGGACACGATGGGTGGCCCAGCAATCTAGCTAACATAGTACACTACGCCTCGGACCCGCGGCGTCCACCCTCTGCTCACCAGCCAGTAAAGTATAGAGTTTGCCCTTCCCTCTCTGCCGTTACCACGACTGGGCTCAATAAAGACAGTAAAATAATGCTCACAAGTATTCGTAGTACACTTGCCCACAACTGGGCCCTCCCACGTATCGTGTGTAGAATTCTCAAGTCAGCAGTGGTGACTTCACATACATCACTAGATTCACTACTCTGTTTGGAATCTCCAGGAGCCAAGAATGCACCTCCTAGCTGCTTGGTCAGCATACCCAGATGGTGCCGGGGGGGGGGGGGGGGGGAACTAGGTAGAATATCACAATGCAAAGCGTACCGATATACACACGCGGTGACCCAACTGCACGTGGACTGTACTGAGTGAACCAACAATAAGAACGTCCCAGGCTATGACGCTTAGGGATTCCTTGCGCAAGCTTCTCGCCGCCTAATACGGACATTCATCGGGTGTCTGTCAAGCAGTGTGCACACCCTGTAGCGCCAGCGGGTCTTTGCTTTGCTGTGTAACACACCCTGTAGCGCCAGCGGGTCTTTGCTTTGCTGTGTAACAATGGTTTGTCATACACAGTAAACCTACCCTAAATTCATGTTAGTCAAGCGAAACGCCCAGGTCTGGATTTAATACCGTGGCATTGAGATTTTGTGCTACCCGGTTCAGGCTGATTTCTCCGTGCTACACTGACGAGACTACCACAAAGGAACAACAAGTTCTGATTCCGGATTGAGTATTAGACAGGCAAACTCAGTAAATGCTAGCGAAGATGGAAAATACTTCGGAAACACTAGTTTGCCTTTGGTACAAGTGCCAAAAATGCCATGGCAAAGTAGGAAATCGTAAGCTTTGTTGTTTTTCAGGAATTTAATTTTTTTTCAGCTTGCTATCCCGCCATTTCATCGCATGAACTTATATTTAGAGTGACGAGCAGAAGAAAAGAAATGAATGGATGCGATGGCAGCCAGTCTTGACGGGTCACACCAAGAAATCGTAAACATCGAGTCAAAGCATCACCTAGAAACCAAAGGCGACGTGTTCTTGTGCGTGACAATCATGATTATCGTTGTCTTGTCTGACGCCATCCTACACGACACATGTCATGCTCCCTGCCTTCAGGGCCAGGTCGCCAGACGGGACACAGGCACACTGTGATACGGACCAGACAACAAAACACCCGTGCGGTCTAAGCTCAAGAGCGGCACCAACCGCTAGCCCTGTTGGCGAAACACGCCTCGGTCCGCCACAGTGCACCTTGACCATTGCTTAGTGTATGCTACACACGGCCTACTACAGATTGGTATTGTTTACGGTCGCGGATTACTTTATCATGCACATTACGTCTTTCCGGCATACAAACCTCCAAATGAATACAATCACTTTTTAAATTCCACCTTAAAAAACAAAATCTCTAACAACATAGTAGGCAGCGGTGACAAAAGTATAGAATGTTTTCCTGTGCATCTACAGTGATAACCAGTGAACAAAGCAGTAGTCTTCTCCTCCGTGCATGCACATCTCTCATCAGTTCGTATCACTGCTCGACTTTGGAAAGCTTTTACAAAATTATTATTATCTCAAAATTCCATAAAATACAATGAATGACAGGATTACTGCGCTGCATGCTACTGTTAGTGTTTGTGTTATTATCTCAGTCACTTTACTCCGTATCTACAGTGTGCTACACACGGCCGGCCGTACTCGGTACCCGGCTGCTGAATGAAAGAATATTTCGGGAAACGGTTGCTCAACCCAACAAGCAAGGCTTAGATCTACGCCTACAATAACGCCAGGAATCTCTACATTCTACAACAGATACCTGTACATGTAGACGTCAGGCAAGGCTAGGATGAAAAATGCGCTTGAAGTAGGCCGTACCCGGAGGCCATCGTGCTTCGAGCACCCAACTAACTTGAAGTACGACATTTTTTGATGTTGGTGTCTTGGAATCGAAGGAGAAAGACGAGCTGGGGATTTAGTGGCTACTGCTGATACCGTCGCCTCCCCCTCGTGAACATCTATTGTCAGTACCGTACAGGGGGCAGTTGACCGATTGCTTGTACGATGTCATGAATTCGCAGAGAGTATAATCAATCCATCAATCCCCGTTCCAAACTTCCCCGCAATAAACAAAACTAAAACATTCGATCTGCACCATACCCTCTCTAGATCAGCTTACTGTACAACTGTCACACAACTTACTAATGGGAACGAGTGCGAAATTTCAGACGGACATGACTGTGTTTGTCACACAAGACAAAAACAAGAGTCGTGCCGAATGACCTACGCAGGACTAAAAATCTACAACGTCGCATTGACTTCTACCCAATCTTGTTCAATTATAATTATTTCGGTTCAGGACATCAAACCTTTCGTCAAGAGGTGACATTGAGCCAGCTCTTCAGTTGCAATTCCTTCCAAACAAGTCGACAAAGTCACCCACCTGCTGATGGTCCGCGTCCAGCTACCGCCAACGCTGACCGAATCGCCGGCGAACTCAAGAAAGAGAGTCTTCGTGCTGCAAGGCTCGCCATCGTTGCTGGAACTCGATCTGTATCAGTGTACACGTGTATGAGCCTGCGCCTTTAGCTGAACCGTTGGAGAGACAGAACTAACCGCCTGGCCTGGCCTCGTACTTCAGTCAAACAAAGCACCACACTCCCCAGTCCACAGGCAACAACGACACGTTCGTGCAACGGGAAAGAGAGAAAGAGAGGGATGAGCTGCAGACCATACTATTACTAGCTGTAGCTACTGACACTGACGCCACGAGTAGATCTACTGTACTAGACTACACTGTCATGTATGAGCGTAGGGCCTGGACAGTGGTGATTGTGACGTGTGAGTGCGACTCTGCCACTCACAGTTTGACTGACTCTGTGAATGTGCTTTTGTGACTGAACGAGCTCTCGTGGGTGCCGCTCAGTGGTATTTTTGTACGTTTGCTCGAGTATCCCGCGCCTGGCTTGAACAAAGAAGAAGAACTGTCGGAGGACCTAGACTAGAGGCGCCCTCATGGAGCTAGTTTCGGAGGTACAAAGACTAAGTTTTCATTGTGTTTGCAACTTTGCATGTCACGATGTTGCTCGCAGTTTTTATCACGCTGGACGCGCTAGTGATTTTTCGGGTGATCATCGCGTGCACGGCCATGGGGGTTTGTCGGAGGTGTGTCCCATATGGACACGGTCCGTGTCACACTCACAGACAGTGGTAGTACATGTAGGCTGTACTACTACTAGTCGTCCTTTGTGAGAAACGCCGATCCGAAGCTCTACTCTCCACTAGTACTAGTACTGCCGGGTTGAAAGTCCCATGGACTTCGTTGAAGTGTTGCATTCTTTGCTTCCTATCTTGTCCCCTTGTTCTTCATTTTCCCTCACCGGTCACCAAGGCCACAGTCTGTCTGGAATCTTTCCACTTCTCACCACTACTGGCACTTAGCTTCTTTCATGTCTCTTGTCACTGATGTGACTTGCGAGATTTTTCAATGAAATCTCATGATGTACAATGTACTGTTATGTACATGTACGTGTATGGCAACACGACCAACACGCGCAAAAGAATCAAATTGATAACGAAGTGAAAGAGACAGTACTGGAGTGCAGTAGAGGATGCATGATCCCGACAAACCTCACAGAAAATCGGTCAATAGGTCAATCTGGAGAACGGCCAGAGTACTAGCGCTGCCCACATGTAACTATACTATAGCGCTGGTCAGGGATGTCCCAGATCCTGTCCAACAATGCAACATCATCAGAATAATGTCTCTGTCAAAAAATCAACAACACAATCACTGCTGACTTGGCACATCATTGACACTACTACTACTAGGGAGTTGCGTGTGTGCACTGCATTGACATCGCTGCAAAGCGCCTGGACAACTACAATGTACTTGAACTAGTGCCCGAACAAACACAGTATCGGCAGTGGTTATGAGATGGTCCATCACCATGATCACCTGCCTCCGTGGCTGTAGGGCATCTTTGCGAAAGACGGATCAGGCCTACTTGTACATGACTGTACAGTCTTGATTGTATGTTTCCTGGACCGATGTCACCTTTTTTTTATCAATGACAATGACTATGTAGCCGCCTTCATTTATTATATCAATAGGTTGGCCAATTCGGTGTTCACTATTGGCATGTTCTGCAGATTTGTAGTAATACTTGGCTATCTAGTAATCACCTGCAATATTCATTAGCGCGCCATCTCCGACATGTATTTCAATAGTCGGTAAATATTAAATTTCTTTTCCAGTCATTTAATTTATCAACTCAACCTTCTTTGATGAGGTAGGGACCAAAACAGCTGTCAGAAGGAATCAGTGAAACCTTTCTTCAATGCTGGAAGGAACCGGTTGTTGCTGTTGTGGGAAAGTGTGTGTACATGTACATGTACAATCATGTACATGTACCTGTGCCGGTATGTGGTTGGCCACAGAGCGCAACGATGGTGGTGAATATCAACGTACATGTACATGTACATGGATGTGTATGTGTGTGACTATATAATTTTTCCTCATTGTACTTATATTATCAGCTATTATCATGATTAGGCCTAAACAAAAAATAGGCTTGTTTCCGGTCGGCAACCCCTCAAAAAGGAGACTCGGTCGGCCGGAATGAAACTTTTTTTGGATACTTTTTTTTTGGTTCCTCAATCGTTGTGGTATAGATGGACAAGAGCACCTACACATGTACATTGTACATATATCATGGCAAGGATCAATGTCAAAGTTGACTGACTCACTGTTCTTGTGCAGCATGGGGTGTATTCCTGTTTTCGTACATTCTGAGAAATCAAGCAAACAGTTCGAGTCCTTCCAGCTCTGTTATTCTAGCTCGTATTGACCCCGGAGGTTTTCGAGCCGACAGCTGAGAATCTCTGCTACCTTGTAGGTGTTTCGATTCTGGAATTCGGTTGAGATTTGACTGAGTTATGACTCGTTGAGTGCACTTGCACACATGGCATTGCCACCGTTTGTATACATTTGGGACCAAAAAAAAGTTTCAGAATTTGGGAAAAAGTGGCCCGGTCGGGCGACCGGAAACAAGGTCATTATTTGTTTTGGCCTTATCAGCCTTCTATGCAGTATAACTGGCGCTGGGAGAGGATCTTGAACGTTCATGGACTTCGCTTTTGCATTCTTTGCTTCCTTTCTTCCCCTTGTTCTTCATTTTCCCTCACCAAGGCCTCAGTCTGCCTGGAATCTTTCCTCACCATTTCTTTCTTCTCTCTTGTCTTTGATGTGAGATTTTTCAACGAAATCTCATGAGGTACAATGACTACATGTACTCAGATTCTGTATTTACAGTCACGTGAGTGCGACCACATGCTTCGAACATCACGTCATGATGTTGCAAGCTGCAAGGACGGTACATGTAATGGTTTGGGTGGCACTGGCAGTGCCATGATGTGTAGTGTGGAACCCGGGTTGCTTGACTTTATGTCATGTACATCGTACTGAGGCAAATGCGGATTCTGCCGGCAGAAAAATTGGCAGAATTCGGTACTTTTTCTGGTAAGTTTCATGCATGTTTGGTATGTGGATAAAGAAATGGAGCAGAATTCGAGGAATTGCCCGCCATAAGGTTTGTATGGTTCTGCCAATTTCACTGCTTTTCGAGCAGAATCTGCCACCTTTTCGAGCATTATCCGCCAAGGCCTATGTACATGTACATGTACATGTACATGTAGCTATATTTGCACTGTAGAAAATATTTACATGATAGACATCCCAGTGCTTTCAGGAGCACTGGCATACAGGACTCGTAACCGGAGTAGAGCGTGGATCACTGATACCAAGGAATTCAAGGAATTCGGTTTGGCTACCACAAACCCTGATACATGTACCCTATACAATAATGTACCTTCCATCACTCGTAGTAAATCCCCAAATACATGTACATTGTACATGTTCATCATGTATGCTATAATGTAGATAATGTGGTCATGTTAATTACTCCATAAAAAGCATTTATCGCATTTCCACACTAAAGAACACTGAATGGAAGCATGGTTTAACTCGGATGGTGAGCCAATTAAATTATGGTGAAAAGGGAGGACAAAATGTTAGTCGTAACTCGTAACATTTTGTCCTCCTTTTTCACCATAGAATAGAAGCATGCATAATAATAATGATTATGAACATGTACGTGACGAAAAATAATATTTTCGAATGGAAGCATTCAGCTTACACGAGATGTAGCGGTGTCATTCGCCACAGATCAGTGTCAGAAGTGATCACCAGAAGATGGTCAGGGTCCTAAAATAATTACTTCGAAGCACACTAGATGCATGTAAGTAGTCCTTTGCCCAAGAGGCAATGATAGTTGATACAGAACATAATTCTTATCTAAAAGAATAGCAGGAGAGGTGTTATGCCTAATGGGCAGGGATGAAGAAATATCGCGTTCATAGAACTTCAATCAAAAAGGGAAAGGACACATCCTCACTCGTCTCTATAGTGTCTGTTGTTGGTCGTTGAGTTGTCGAGTCTGAATATTGTGTGTGGTCTGCTCTGGCGACAGGTGATGGCAGGTAAACACTTCTCCGCCCAACGTCTTCTCTTTGCACTTATTCATAGGGATTGTACGGTCCCTTGTCCTGTGATAGGCACAGACACATTGGCACAATAACAAAGGACTCAATCTGCATCTACATGTACATTGTAAATGTTCAAGAACCGCCGCCCTTTAGTCTTCCATGTACAGAAAACTACCAACTTGTTGTACATGTACAACTTCACTTTATCAAGTTATTGAGCGCTAAGGCCAAGTAAAAAAAAAAGCTAGATGATCGTCCCCGTCCGCCCCAGTTTTTGTCAGCTCCCCAAGAAATATTTTATTTTTTAAATCGTGAGTTTTACTATATGGACCACATACTACTAGTATATCACAACGTCAGTATCGATCTGCTGAAGAAAGAAAAAGAAAAAAAGAAAAAAAAAAGAAAAAAAAGAGAAAAAAACCTTGATGTTGTTGTGTACACTGTGTGCATGAGAGGGTAAAAAGTAAAAAAATAAAAATAAAATCCTCCCGCCCTCCCCGATTTTTCCAAAAAAAAGGACGATCATCTAGTAATTTTTTTTACTCGGCCTAACCAACATTAATTTTACTGCTGTCCATAGTAACGTTGGGTTACTCCCTAGGTGGTAGAGTACCGCTAATCACACATACATTTACATGTAACTGTAACTGTGGACGCATGAAGAAGTCCACCGTTAAGAAAATGAAGCTCCAGGATTGTCCAAATCCAAGGAATGTTACATGTACATGTATACACCATAATCTCAGACCACAAGTAACTTGCCATGTTATCATCAAGTACAGTGCATATCGGTTATAGCGTGGTCGTGTAAAAGAAAATACATGTACTGCTTACAACTTACAAGAATGACCTCTCATATTTTCATAATAAAAATTATCGGCAATAAGAATAGAAAGTCGTTTTTCAAACGTCCACGCTTTAACCGATACCTACTGTACATGTATTTCTCCACTCTTTTTGCGGTGATCTTGCCATGCTCGTCGCGACTCTTACCTTGTTCTTGTCGAATAGTTTCTTGTGGCCGCATCCACCGCACAGAACAATCAGACACAGAACAGTCATGATCAGATAAACCACCGCTGTTAGACCGTTCAGCACCGCCAGTGCTATCACGCTGTTCAACGCAGTGGCTAGAGAACAGGGACAAAGGGCAAAGACAACAGGAAGATTTGAAAAAGTCCAGCACAGTCCACCATCAGTCGCTATGTGCCGTAGTATTGTTGGGGATAGCACACGCTGACCAATTCATCTCCGGAACCCGGAAGACAGGAACTCATTACTACGGAAGTGATAGCAAGTAGACAGAGTTGAGAGCTGATTCTGAGTGAGTGTCCTGTGAAATAACAGATCACATTGCATGTACCGGTATTTCATGTACATGGACAGTCGTGGTCAAAGACATCCGCTCCACAAGTCAAAGCAGCGCCACATTTCCACTTCATGCACGGTCGACCGGTCGGAAAGCCCATCCGAGGGCACAGGGTCGAAGGGGCCGCGCATGAGCCTTGGCGCTGCTTTTGGCTCATGGGTCGGATTTCTTTGGCCACAGCCGTACATGTACATGTACATGTAACTGCTTTCCAGCATTACCCTTCATTCCATTGCAGCTGGAGACTTTCCGGTCGGCAACCACTCCGTAGGTCTTCACTGCACTAGGGTTGAAGCAGCAGCAACACGTCTCTGGCGGGTCCGGAATGCGATGCGTGCGTTTCATGGCTTTCTCGCATTGCCCTAAAACCACGCGCAGAGAGAGAGACAGACAGACAGAAACAGACATACAGACAGATAGACGACAGACCGGCAGGCAGGCAGACGGACAGACAGACAGTCAGACAAACAGACAAACATACGGGCAGACAGACAAACAGACAGACAGACATGCAGGCAGGCAGGCAGACAGACAGGAAGACAGACAGGAAGAAAGAAGGACAGGTATGCAGACAGATAGGCACTGAGCGAGCTTTCCGTGATTTACCCTCTTCGTGATTATGAATAATTGGTAAGCATTAGTAGGCTTCAAGTATCCAATCACCGTCTCCTATGGACATCTCCGAACTCGAGTTTGATCAAGAAAGACCAGAATCTAATCCAAGACAACAGCATACATGTACGAATTATTAATGAGCCCGATACCTAGTGTGCCATGTTCACAGAATCAATTAACGTATAATTATGGTCTTTTTGCCCTAAGCTTTCTCTCTTCTGACCGCTGGAATGCCCTCCCAGCTGATATTCGCTGTTGCTCCTCTTATTTGCAGTTTTGTCACGCTCTTCGTACTCACATAGAGTACCATGCAAGAAGGCCCTAGGCCTGTGGGGATTGCCCTATTCAAAATTTAATACAGTCAACTTCGCTTATAACGACATTCGGCGGGGCATCAAAAAAGTGTCCTTATTCGCGAAGTGTCGTTATACCCGAAGTCTCATTATGTATCACAGTTGGATGGAACTTTGCTCTGGGCATGGACATTCTGTGGTTATTCGAGAATTGTCGTTATATCCGCAGTCGTTATTAGCGAAGTTGACTGTAATAGTAAGTTACCTCTACACGCTATGCCTGGTCCAGTGTACTCTTTCTCCTTGTTGATGTACAGACAGTTGCCGTGCTGCACACCGTGTGTCCTGGCTGAGCGAGCAGCCAGGTTGGCCATGGCTATGATGCAGCACACTGTTCCGGCCAGGACAACGATTGTGAACACCACAAACTGTACAAGAAAACAGTGCCGATGAGCAGAGAGAGAGAGAGAGAGAGAGAGAGAGAGAGAGAGAGAGAGAGAGAGAGAGAGAGAGAGAGAGAGAGAGAGAGAGAGAGAGAGAGAGAGAGAGAGAGAGAGAGAGAGAGAGAGAGAGAGAGAGAGAGAGAGAGAGAGAGAGAGAGAGAGAGAGAGAGAGAGAGAGAACAGGAAAGCGTGAGGTGAGAGTGAATTGGATACCAGCGAATCAGCTCACATATAACTGCAGATGTAACAAAAGACTAAAAAATGAAATAGAAAGGAACAGTTGTGAAGTCATGTCCAGGAAGTGCCCTGCCTTTCCAAATGATTCGCGAGAGTCAAGAGATGTATTTTACACCCATTGTAGGCGTGATAATGTATAATGTTGAGATACTACAACAAGTATTATGTACATGTCAAATAAAGAATTTCAAACCCAAACCAAAAAAACTTCAAATCAATTTTTTTATAATTAAAAATAAACTCAATCAATAAACTCAATTTTTTTTAATAAAAAAATTATGTACATAATATGTCATGTAGAATGTGCATTGTACGTGTACGCGTAGAATCAAACATTATGATTATCTATTTCCCTTGCTTGTGTCACAGTCATTCAGAAGGACGTTTCCGTACCTCTACTACCTCTCTCTCGAGGATAATTGGGCAAGAACAGTTGGGAGTATAGAATACGAAGAGAATGAAGGACGCAGACATCGCCACGCCACACGTCACTTGTTGCCAATGTACATGTACAATGTTGATATGCTGTGCCGCGCTGATGTCTGCGGCCTTCAATCTCCTCAGTCATAGCTTTAATTATTAAAGTTGTTTTCAGGCAGATGGCTTCAATAGTAGAGTCCTGAGGGCTACTGTGACGTCGGTGTGTACTTACTGCGAACATTGCCATTCCCCGTTGCTTTCTGATGTTCCAGTAGATGAAGAGGAAAAGCAGGAAAACCACGACGGCCTGAGAGAAAGGATCAGTTGAATTGAAATCAACAACAAAGTCGCATTCGGCTAGATGGACTTTAATTCAACCTAAAATGGATATTTTGCAGCATGTACATGTACACGCATGTAAATTCATTTTCAATGACAACACGCATGAAATGGAACGTGAAGTGCAACGTGAATTATGTAACGAGTTGGTGACTCACACCCTCAAGGCCTCATCTACATGTACATGTATAAGTTCTGCATGAGTGGCTATCGTTATCGACGGAGTAAGAGAATGATTTGACTTTTCACATAATTATTATCACGACGAAGTCTGCAGGAGACGAATGTCCACAATTTAAGGCATTGCATTGTCTGAGTGAATGTTGCCTTTGCAGAGATCTTACGACACCTCGATCCCAGGGACATGTACGTGTGGATAATGAGGTTATACTGTACATGTATTTCGTGTGTATTTGAAAGTGTTCGTTTGACAAGTAACAGTTCCCAGTGAAGGTCTTGACCACAGAACGCGATATACTCCATATCCAGCGGTGTGTTGTGGTCGGTTTTCGCCTCCACATGTATTAAAATTTATGTACATGTGTGCTATGACTCGCGCTTTGCTGTGCGGTCAAACCTTGCACTGTAGAAACTGATACTTTTAAATCGTACACTTGGAGCCTCTAACATCGACGCACATCAACGTAGCTGATAGGTTTTAACTCACCGATATCCCCATCCAATATGTGGCGTATCGTGGATCTCTAAACTGATGCGCCACGGTGGCCAGGTGACCAGCAATACCGCAGACTACGATCCCGATGAGGAGGCATATCACAGACAGTATCAGCAAGGGCTTCATGAGCGCATGGTTGTCTTCATTCTGTTTGTACCCCATGGCGCTCCTCGGCTGTTACTGCTGCTGCTGTTGCTGCTGCTGCTGATGCTCGATTGCACGCGGCCTCTGGAAAACCTTTTGGAGGCGCGAGTCTATACCTAACTGTGGGAAGATTCCTGAAAGAGTTACTGAGGGATTTAATACTATAGAGTCAGAAAGGCACGTTGTGTTGGAGACACACTCGCATGGGTAGCGGCGTGAACTAGGGGTACCCTCTCGACCAGAAACTACTATTCTATCGGAAACATTGCCTGCTCCTGAGTGAAAGTCGGGCTGGGGAGTAGAAAGATACGGCAGGGGGCTGGTGTGAACAAAGCACTACACTCGTCTTCCTGGCCTATCTTCCAAGCAGTGTGACATGCACCCAGTGCTTCACCATCAGTCGAATCAAGCACCTGTCCTTCACCTACAGCACATGCCTTTGGGGGTAGGTGCTCAACTCTAGAGCTAACGCTGGCACAGCTGCGATAGGAGGCGCAGGGTAGCAAACCTTTTGCTGTACGAATTTCGCCTAATAAGTGAGTGGTCAAGGCAGCTTTGGGGTAGGCAGGTTGAGCAAGGGCGATGATATCATAGTTGTTGTGTTGGCCATGCTGGGATGAACAGCCTGTTTCTGGTCCCCATTGCTTCCTACTTAATCGTGTGCAAACAGAACGCGTTGTACAGAACAGGCAGAACTGTCAACAGACCGGCTATGCGGCCATTTCCTCTTCTCTCCCATCCATCCTGGTCAGTCCTACAATCATCATGTACATAACGCTGGGGCATCAGCTGGCTGCTGTGCGGTGTTGGGATAGTAGCTGCGCGGTGTTGTGTTGAACAAGCCAGCATGCTATCATCTCTACCCACTGCAATGGCTTCCTCGCAATCACTAACTACTAGCGGCGTAGGTGATAAACTCTGGCGGCCAGCGCCCAAGCCCTTCACCGCGCGCACCAATGCTCTGCTGCCGCTCGCGGCGAAGAATGTGGAGAGACAGTCGGGTGTAGATCAACCTAATGCTGATAGATAGTAGAGTTCTCGGCGACGCTAATGATGGCGCATGGTGAGAGTCTACCGTCGGTCGGGTCGCGCCCTATGCAGGCGTGGTGGTGTGCGAGAGGTAGAACATGATGGAGTCACAGCTCATGTACAGACTGTACAGTACTTGGGAATACAAGTAAAAATGGTGTAAATGTGCACACTACTAGTACACTGTACGACATGGGAACATGGCTAGGTAGTAGCCTTGTATACTATCATTATGTACATGCTATGCTGAAGCACAGTTCACAGATCGCCAGTCTGATAATGTACGGAAGCTAGCAAGTATGAAGCATGCATGCACAGTGAATATGTCGATGTATTTTTAAAGATCTCGGGGTGCAACCAGCGCTATGCTGAGGTATTTATAGCGGGTCCCGATTCAGCTGGTATTCCAGTAATCTCAACAGCTACTCCAGTCCTTGCAGTAGATCATAATTATGGTGTCTCATCATCCCAATCACGGTCTCACTGCATCACTGTAGGAACCGGCGTATAATGCTCGAGAATTGGATGGATCCTGCTTTTCAATATGCTCGCAATCGCATTCTGCTCCAAAATGGCACTGATAATGCTTGAATTCTGCTTCGAAAAAATGGAAATAGTGGTTTAGATTACTGATGTAACTTTGTTACAGATTGATAACAGTATAAGTCACACGAGTCACAGAAAAACACGCTATAATGGCATGAAATTAACTTTAAGTTACGACAATCAAAACGCGTGGTTTTCTGTGATTCGTGTGTTATTGCTCTGCTTCCGCATTGAGCACTCTATCGAGCCGGAGGACTCAGCTCTCTAACAGCATAAGTCATGTACTTTGCAGCATACGTCATGTTCTACGAAACAGAAAAAAATACAAGAAGCACAGAGTTATTATTACTCAGCAGGCAAAGGCGCGGTAGAAGTCGCGAGGGCATTGTGAATTCTCACGAAAATCTCATATTTTGCAAGAATATGCTAGCTTTCTGCAAAACTTGCCCGATTATGCTGGCGCAATGCTAGTTTCCAGAAAGTGCTGAATACATGTACAGTACTTTGAAGTACATGTATACTACTGCCACATACATGTATAATGCTAGCTTTATCCGCGGGGGGCCTAACTGCATGTCGAGAGTACTGACTGGCTGGTCTATGTTACAGAGTCCAGACTGAAATATTGTCACCGTTCTTTCTACATGTATGTTCTTAAATTTGGGTGGACGAATGAATGCCATAATCGTCAACGGTCGACACAAGAAAGGAAGGAGACCCGTGGATATACGCTCTCTCTGTCTCTCTCTCTCTCTCTCTCTCTCTCTCTCTCTCTCTCTCTCTCTCTCTCTCTCTCTCTCTCTCTCTCTCTCTCTCCCCCCTCTCCCCCCCCTCTCTCTCTCTCTCTCCCCCCCTCTTCCTCTCCTCTCTCTCTCTCTCTCTCTCTCTCTCTCTCTCTCTCCCTCTCTCTCTCTCTCTCTCTCTCTCTCTCTCTCTCTCTCTCTCTCTCTCTCTCTCTCTCTCTCTCTCTCTCTCTTTCTCTCTCTCTCTCTGTCTCTCTCTCACACACACACACTCTCTCTCTCTCTCTCTCTCTCTCTCTCTCTCTCTCTCTCTCTCTCTCTCTCTCTCTCTCTCTCTCTCTCTCTCTCTCTCTCTCTCTGTCTCACACACTCTGTCTCTCTCTCTCTCTCTCTCTCTCTCTCTCTCTCTCTCTCTCTCTCTCTCTCTCTCTCTCTCTCTCTCTCTCTCTCGTAGCTTGGATTTCTCAGTGAGTCACTGACTATCTACTGAGTAGTAGAAGTGAGCCCCGAATAGCTTACCACATGCCTGTTTCTGCTAGCAGGGTCTAGTCCCTGATCCCAGAGGCGTTGGGGTTATGGGGCGCTTCGAGCCAGAATTAGTTTTTCGAGCCATAATAGTACGATCTCACGGGACTTCAAATGGTCCTGTGCAGTTTGGGCTGATTGGGAGGAAGATGAAGCTTAGCTCCTTACGCGTTGAGCTTCGCACCGAAGCTGTGGGGCAGGCAGCAATCCCGGGAGCATTCCCACGTTGAGAGCATGGCAACATCTCGACTATCCCAGTATATCCCTGCCTGGTTAGATTTATGCTGTTCCCTCGCAACTCCCTCAGGCGTGGGACAGACCCAGCGCAGCCGACCGACCACCTCGGCCAGACCTACCCCACGTACTTATACTTGTGTGGAACAGATTATACATGTACCATGCATTCGAGACTCTCAACTCCAGTGTGAGGAAACCTGCTTCCCGGTAGTGATAACCTGGGGAACGATAAGAAAAGGCCACGATACAGTCATGTATTTCGTTGGATCTATCGTAGATACATGTACTGTACTTCAAAGTAGATCGATTCCACACCAAAGGCAAACAGTTCCACTATCGTCGTAATTACACACATTTTGATGATGGTAGTAGTTTGCCGACTTGGAACTAGAACGAACAGACTGGAAGCCAAGCTATGAGGTCTGGAGAAAATATTGAGCAGTCGCTCAGTGCTGGGATGACAGCTACAAAACTGGAGAAGAAACCAGGGAAAACATGTACAACCATACGTCAGTGGTTAGAGCAGCGCTGGCCTACATGTACATGATTATGCAGTATACCTGTGAATGCGACCACTCGGATAAGGCTACCAACTGTCCAAGGGGATTTCCACAACCAGGACCAAGGGGTGCTATTTCCAGTCAAGTGACCCTGGCCTGGATGAGGAGACCACCTGTACACAACGACCACAGTTTTAAGGTCCCTTGAGCGGTCGTCTTAGACCGGTTTCACTGTACATGTATAGCGAAGGTTCCTGGCTTGAGTCCTGGTGGTGACACTAAATCTGGCCTTCAGACGTTATCCTCTTTCACTCTCCAAGACTATTGAATTACTACTTGTGTCACATGTAATGACAAATTTTGGGAGATTTACCATTAATTTTACATCCTTTTTCGCATGACAGACAGGGTCCAGCGGATAATGCTCCGATAATGCTCGTATAATGCTAACCACAATGCTCCAAAAACTACCTCATAATGCATATTATAATGCCGTAGACTCTAACCCAGACACATGCTCTCTACGTGATTTCTCTATGTTTCACGTGTAGCAGAACCTCTCTACTAACACGGAACCTGCGGATCCGAGCGTCTTGACAGGGGTAGTGCCCATCAACAAACTCGTGCTTTACGTTGTAAGCACCAACAACGGTTGCAACGCTCATTCCATCAGAGACTGGTGCAAAGCGAGGGACGTCAAGGTATTAAATTACTCCGTCCTGGAGTCGAAATATGCCAGAGACACTGTGGGCGCAGAATATGAAGAGCATGTACTAGACAGAGCCTTCTGGCCCGAAGCCATCAGCCACTCAGTACGCAAGTTAGTTGCGTTTAGCGGACAGCCCCAAAGTGACGAAGCCAGCTTCCAATGAGTAACTTCTCTCCCTCCTCGTCCACTTCAACAATGTGCCTCTCAACGCTCTTGCCCCACCTTTCTTCCCCATTCTGTACATGTTGATACTCACCGACTACTTACAATCAGTGTCCTTAATGCTCGCTCCATAGCAAACAAGTCGGGCGAACTTATTCAAATATGTGAGGATCACAAACCCAGCGTAGTATGCATTACAGAGACCGGGCCAACTCCCACACAAGCTTTCTACGTGCCACACTATGAATGCTTCCGTCGAGACCGACCTGTTCTAGAAAATAGACAAAACCGCGAACCACACGGTACGGAGGAGTTCTAGTCTTAGTTCGTGCAGGTCTGTGTACTTCCATTGATCAGCGGACCCGAGGCCTGTGGGACTTCCCTATTCAAAATAATAATCATTTTATAGAAAAGAAAAAGGACCAAGGAACTACAAGTTGCGCTATAATGTCCACTAACACCACCAGTTACTAAACAATCAGCTCATGCGATAACATTGCACGACACCGACCGACGATACTGACGCTCACAACTAACTGGCAAACAGCTCTAGCACATCTTGGATGCGCACTCCACCAGCCTTCCAACTTGGAAGGTTCTAAGTTATACTTGTAGAAATAACATAAGGAGGGGAAAGTGAGCGCAACCAAGACAAGCACGATCTGAAAGTCTCAGCTGTGATGTATGTCGAGGACGATACTGGCAAGACCCGGCATCAGACAAAACGGTCACACCACAATTTAAGGACGCATAGCAAAATTCCATACCCCAACAAACTTACTTGTGTGGCTCTAAAGATTCCCCTCCTTATGTTATTTGAACTTATTTCTGCAAGTATAACTTAGAACTTTCCAAGCTGGAAGGTTGTTGAAGTGCGCATCCAAGATGTGCTAGAGCTAATTGCCAGCTAGGTGTAGAACATCAGTATCGTGCAATGTTACCGCATGAGCTGATTGTAAAGTGACTGGTGGAGTTAGTGGACATTATAGCGCAACTTGTAGTTCCTTGGTCCTTTTTCTTCTTATAAATCAATCCTTGGCTCTCCGCCCGAGTATAAATAAATAGATACACAACTGTTGTGTA